GTGAGTGAGTATGGTTTAACATCATCTTAAAGAGTACTTCACTTATATGCATGTCTTGGAGTGAGTGAGTATGGTTTAACATCCTCTCGAACAGTCCTGCAGTGATATGTATGTCTTGGAGTGAATATGGTTTAACATCATCTTAAAGAGGACTTCAGTTATATGCATGTCTTGGAGTGAGTGAGTGAGTGAGTGAGTATGGTTTAAAATCCTCTTAAACAGTACTTCATTTATATGCATGTCTTGGAGTGAGAGAGTATGGTTTAACATCCTCTTGAACAGTCCTGCAGTGATATGCATGTTTCAGAGTTGGTGAGTATGGTTTAACATCATCTTAAAGAGTACTTCACTTATATGCATGTCTTACAGTGAGAGAGTGAGTTTGGTTTAACGCCGCTTTTAGCAATATTCCTGCAATATCACGGGGGGACACCAGAAATTGGCTTCACACATTGTACCCATGTGGGAAATCAAACCCGGGTCTTTGGGGGTTATGGGCAAACTCTTTAACCACAAGGCTCCCCACCGGCCACATGTCTTAGACACTTGGTAAAATTCACGAGTCAGGTATGGTGCTGACAAACCAAGAAATTGGGTCAAATCTGGGATTCAAACCCACGATCATAACTTTAATCAGCATGAATCTTCGATACAAGCCCAGCAGATGTCTGCAATGAATATGTATAACTTAATCATCAACATAATCGACCCTTTCTGAAATGCAAAGCAGGGTATAGGCAAACCACTACAATTCAAAGGACAGTTTTGACAGTCATAGCTCAGGGTATATACATCCCACCTCGGACACACTGATTGGTCAACTGCTTGCAACATGATTAACAGGTGAGTTAGGACTACATTCATTCAAGGGCTCAGTAATACGGATATATTGCAAACTGATGTCATAAACAAGTATTGCACAAAAATATTTGTGGATGTATATTCTGTCTGACAATAAAGATGTGTTTGTATTTGAAACACGTGAAACGGTGCCAGACTGGAAACATTTTGAGTTCCTATATATACATACAAGTTGTTCAAATAAAAAAAAACATTAAAAAAAACATTTTAAAAAAACATTAAAAAAAACAATGGTGCTTGAATCAACAGAAATAAGGATTTTATCGCCATACAAACTAATATCTCCTACTGAACAAAAGTCAAAGTACACACAATTTGTTACATATGACTGTAGTTAATCTGTTATTGCTGTGGGTATTGCAACACACAGCCCTCCAATTGTGGGTGTTCCTTAACTTGTTTTGAGTGAAATACCTGAATATGAGCTGATACAAATCCTGTGCCATACTCTACTGCAATACACGTAATATACCCCAGAAACATTGTTGATTTTTCAGAAAAGTATGTAAATATAACATAAATGGATTTTAATAAACAGATAACATGTCCCACTTGCTTGTAATACAGAGTATACCATGGTAAAAATGGACGGGTATCATTATTTGTATTTGAAACGACCAATTTTTTTTCAATTTTTTTTTTTTAAAAGCATGCCCTTAACATTGCCAGTACGAGTGTACTTCATTAGCTATTATCCCTTGCCCTTAAAGAAAAGAAGTGCATAAAGCCATTGCTTCACCAATGTTAACTGACTTTAAAAGTCCAGTTTCCACCCTTGCCGAACTTGGCTGGAATTCCTGGGCTCGATCGTAGCGCCATCAGTGGTTATTACAAGTTATGTCCCTTCTTAGCCTCTCATATGGACCAATCAGATTCCATAACTTGCATTTGTTTCAAACAAAATGGTGGCGCCCAGTCAAGACGATCTGATCGATAATCAAGATCTATGTTGTGATAAAACGGGCCTTACATAGCGAAGTGCATCAAATCACGCAAGCACCTTGATTAAAAACATGAAAAGTTTTGGAAAATATCTGTTGACAACAAGTTGGCGGTGCACATGCTTTGCAAATCCTGCAATCGACCAAAATCTGCGCAACAGTTTATGAACCGGATTTTGATTTTGTTGCGCGATTTTGATTGGACTATGCATAGTCTCGTTAGTCCAGCCAAAATGTAACTCCCTAATACCAGCCTAGTTCGGCAAGGGTGGAAACTGGATTTTTATAGTCAGTTAACTCCCTTGCTTGGGGAAGACATTGCTTCACAGGCTACATGATGTCAAAGCTAAGGAGTGAGTGAGTGAGTGAGTATTGACATGAAAAAATGCATTACATAGTCTAAGTATTGTGTTGTGCACTGTATGTTTTAGTGCAGCTTTTGTCAAGATTTTGCTGTCACTCACCATGTTTGTTTTATTGCCTTATAAAAATGTTCAAAAATATTTTTGTTTACATTAAGCCAGTCTTATTAAAATCAGAAATTAGTGCTCGCTACTGCTACACATGAAAACTCAAGGTGCACCAATGTATTGTTTCAACTCCACTAACCAATAATCTCATATTCCACTTTGCTTCTGAGACAAGCAATCACAGAGAAATCAAAACTACATTTTTGTATTGATGCCATGACGACAATGTTTCAGTTAGAAAACAAAAATAACGTTTCCAGATGCTGGTGTTTCTGAGCGTTCTTTGCCAGGGATTTCAAATGAACCGATTCTTCAAGACTTCCCATGAGACACCCATGACGCCACTCCATTTGTACATGTGCCAAAGGATGATGTCATTTGTTTCATCTACAACTTAACAGAATGCACAGAAAACTCCACAAAACCAAGTTGTTCACATAAACAGTAATCACACTCAATACACAATGAATAAACAGTCATGTCAACATATCAAATATCACAGCTGGGGTACTGTCAAAATTGTACATCTACAAAGAGAGTATTCATATGCAACCAAAGTGACCATGCTTCACTTACATAACACAGCATCATTTCCATTTGCCCCAATCCCACTAGGCCCCTGTTGTTTGTTTGAGTGAGTGAGTGGGTGGGTGGGTGTTTGGGTGAGTGAGTGTGGGTGAGTGAGTAAGTGAGTGAGTGGGGTTTAACACCGCCTTTAACATTATTCCAGTTATATCACGGCGTGTCAGCTTAATGTGGGAGGAAAGCCTGAAGTGATGCAGGTCTCAGACGTTTACCACATCGGTGAAATCCATGAGCACTGGTATGGTGCTGACATACCTAGAAACATAATCAGGGCGAACCGGGATTCGAACCCACAATGATAGGTTTCCCAAGGGGATGAACTCTGCACAGCAAATCGCGGCACCTTAGACGACTGGGCCACCTGTGCCATCCCCCGCCCCCCCAAGTTGTTTTAAGACACTAATGAGGCCTAGTTGGGTGGGACCCATTAAACAGTGTTTTTTTACCAGATTACAACGCCTTCCATTTTACAATGAAAATTATTTCTTCACACCTGTGAACTGCATGAAATCCAAACGATCGTACACCATATTGAACTTTTCGGCCATTGTTCTGCTATGTTGCAATTCACCTGATGATATTGCAAGCACAAGATAGACCTTAAAAGGTTGACAAAAATAAAACACATTGTCTACTAACATTCTTGAGTGTTCATGATACTGTTATAGTCAGGAAAGTCTAAAACTGTATTAGACATTGACAACAAATTGAAATTGTATTTCCTCTTATGAACTTTTACATAACAAATAATAAATACATTGTCACATGTCTCCCTACGTATGTCGTATTTTAAAACAGGACAAGAAATTAGTAAAAACAAATATTATTTCACTTTCTTCGGTGACAACAAGCATTGAACTTAACACTCCCTTGTTCCAGGGAATAGAAAAACTTTTTAAAAACTTTCTTGAACACAGCTTAAAAAGCTGACAAAATGCAAAGATCATATACATGTACTTACTAAATTAAGTGTACCTAACAAATTTACAGGTCCAGGCTGTTGATCAAGCCTGAAGAGGACTCTGAATTATTATTTGGTACCAAGAGGACTCTGAATTATTATTTGGTACCAACAATGTGAAAAAATATTATCATTCTGATCATGGTTTTTCTACACAAACTCAATACAGAAAACTTTCTCAAAACATATTACCATATTCGCCATACTAAGCACCCCATACCACTAACAGCCCCTGACCAACTTCTACATTAGTCTGTAAGAAATCTTCATAAATAACCCCTAATCTCTAAATTTCCATGTCAGTCTGTATTTTGTGTATTTTACAGATTGTACAGAAAACACACCAGTGTAGGAGTATCAAACAATATTATAGAAACATTGAAAACAAAATTAAATTGTGCATGGTTTTAATAAGTACCCTCTTAGTCAATTTTTAAGTGCCCAGGGTGCTTATTATGGTGAATACGGTATCAAACAAACCCAAGTGTTCTGAATCATGAAGCAACTGATATTTTTCAAAAACAAGACTAGTCGGAACAGGGTTCCAAAAATCTGATAACCATGGAAACAAGTGAAAAAGGAGTCTGTTTCCACTCTTGCAACACAATTCTGTAACTATTGAAACATATGTACAGTCATGTAATATTTTGATAAGTACTTCTTGTGTTCAACAACCTTGCCACACAATGACAATAGTCTAACCAAGTTCTAGATTTAGCAGATTGTAGTGCCCTGATTCTTGCCAGACAAATGTATGGAGGTTTCCTGAAAGGATGCCCACGTGTCTCTTCAAGTAAGGTATATTTTGCATAAAAACAAATGGAAAAGCAAGCGATTAACAATATTCCTTGTATATTTCATTACATTACGCTTATCGGAGACCATACACCAAGGGTCGAGCTTTTTGGCTAATTAAGATCTGATCACTGATGTGCCAAAAAAATTATTCCGTCGCTGTGCAAGATCTGCAAGATTTGAAGGCTAACACGGGAGGTTTATAGCGAGTGAGTGAGTGAGTTTGGTTTAACGCCCGTTTTAACAGTATTCCAGTTATATCACGGCATGTCAGCTTAATGTGAGAGGAAAGCCCGAAGTGATGCAGGTCTCAGACGTTTACCACTTCAGTGAAACCCACGAGCACGGGTATGGTGCTGACAAACCTAGAAACATAATCAGGGCCAACCGGGATTCGAACCCACAATCATAGGTTTCTGGCGTGCCCAAGGGACGCAACTCTGCACAGCGAATCGTGGCACCTTAGACGAATGGGCCAACCGTGCCCCCTGAGAGTTTACAGACTTTATTTCCATCATATCTTTGATCCAAGGCTAGTTATGTTACTTTCCTTGACTCTGTAAAGAACAGCAATCATTTATTGTAAATATGTTAAAGGTTTATTTAGCTTACAATAGCTACGAAGAAAAACGGCATCATGCACTGCTTCTATGTTCCTAATAATACACGTAGAAAATATCCGTATATGGACTCTGCACTTATTAATACTCCCTATATTGTAGTGAGGATATCGTTGGTAACTGCTGATATCTTAACTTGTCATTGATGGACACTTGCAATGTCACTAGGCTGATCAATGGTTACATCTCAAGCGCTGATAATGGAGGCAGTTACCAGGGAAGCAGCACCAATTCTGTCAAATACTGTATAACAATAATTAAGATGTGGGATTGATGGGGGAGACCATCTGCGCAGGTTAAGTTTCTTTCACTTGGGTGAAATCATTCCACATGGCATAGTAGGTCCATCCTCTCTCATCCAGGGTATTATATCTGCACTGTATCATGACAAATACTCAGGAACCACATGCCACCATAGACTCATTTTGAGTCGACATGATACTACAAATAGCCATCCAATCAAATTAGAATGCTTTTTATGATTGACACAAGAGGCAATACAACAGTCCTTGACTCACCCAGCTTTCTATTTCAAATACAACTGGGATCATTTGTAAGCATTGACATTTACACCAAATGTAAGACTCAGGAAAGCATCTTTACCAGCAAAAAATTCATAATAGGTTTCATGATTCAAAAACTCTTTTCTTTACCAAGTTCTCGCTCATGTGAGACTGTTATGCCGAACTCTAGTTCAAAAGGATCATTCTTATTAGTTGTGGATTTGAAGCTTATGAGTGACAGGAATGATGAGTGAGTGATACAGACCTTCAGCTGGTGACATCGCTTCCGAAACAAAGCAATAATGGTGATAGGCTCAAGGGTATTAATCCTAACAGTATGGAGCTGTAATACCCTGGATAATCGAGGATGGAAAAGCTAGGCAACTATTTGTCTTGGTTTGCTCTCTCCATCATTGTCCATGTCATGTACACATCATCAGATCCCATCCTCTCATTCAGACCTTAGCTGAGTCACACAATCCAGACCTAACGCACCCCACAGACAGCACTTTAAAACACTGTAGAACATCCCCCACACAATGCATGTTAAAGTTTGGCAATGACAAATAGAAGGTTCAGTGCAAGTCAATTAAAGGAACAAGTAGCTCCTGCTGAATCCGAGTGAGGAGCTCCGTGTGTAAACTGTCATCATGCAGACTCCTCCACTCATAGCTTGGGTTCTTTATCTGGGGCGTCTGGTCACTCCCCAGGCCTTCATACATATACACCATTGTGTAACACACACCGTCATGTTCACCTTTAGGTATCCCACAATGCTCCACAGACAACAAACCACAGACCTTTGGGACTTCCTGTGCCTTGCCAAAGGCACTCTGAAAAAGTGAAACATATATCATAACATGTCTTTGAATAACATTTAGAAGTGATATACCGTATTTGATGTAATAAGCACCCAGGGCGCTCTCAAAATTAGAAACAGGGGGCTCTTATTTTAATTAAATAAATTTCGTGGTTTATGCTGACAGCCTGAAATGTTTATGTACGACAGATATATTTTTCCAGAATGTAATTGCCCATAATAAAGGGTGCATATAACACACGAATGCGTATTATACGCGAAAAGATAAGTCTTGTGTACAGTGATCAATCGGAAGGGGTGCCAATCAGGATTGTTCACTAGCCAATATATTAGCAAATATCGCCTCGGGCGCTTATTAGAGCAGGACGCTTATTACGTCTAATACGGTACATAAGAGAGAGAATTTAAGTATGTCAACTTCTTTATTATGAAGATACATGTTTTGGAGTAATGGTTACTCCTTAATAAGGTGAATGAGTATACAGAGCTCCAGATAAGCTGCGTATCTGCGTAAAATACGCATCAGATACATGTATGCAGAAATATGCAGTAAAATCAAATCCAAGCGTATCAAATACGCAACGAACATTACAGATACGCTACAAAAATAAAACTTGTGTGTATCATCAAAATATTGTGAAGTAACCCTGCGTATTCGATTAGCAAATCAGCAACTTATTTTGAAATTATAAACGGGCATTCCGTCAACCATGCCAAACTCCACGATGACAGTTACATCATGATCATTTGCCATCACATTTTCTTATGGAAGTATCGTGGTATTTTTGAGTCCTATAAAGCTCTCGAACCCACCTGACACCAGTTTGCAGGGACTAGATGAATAGTGTTTTTAAATATTTAACTTAAATACCCACATGTGTAAAAACTAGTTGGTAACAGAAATTTGAATACCCAGATAGAATTACTGATATCCAATGATTTTAAAATGCATGGGTAAAATACCCACAACACCAAAAGCTTATCTGGAGCTCTGAGTATATGTTTAGTCCTCCACCTGATGAAGGATGAAGCATATACTCCAAAACATGTTCCTCATAATAAAGAAGTTGACATCCATAACCTTTCTCTCTTATATCACAACATATTTCCGTAACGAAATTCATTTTCACTCAGGCTGAAAAGCAAGTCAGTGTGTGAATATTTTCTTTTTCTCTGCTGTAAGCAATATTCCAGAAATATTAATATCCAGAAATAGGCTTCACACACTGTACTGGTGTGGGGAATCAAACCCGGGATTTCGGTGTGACGAACAAACACTTTAACCACTTGACTACCCCCCCACCCTGAAAGCAAGTCAGAAACAAAAGGAGACACTTATCAACTGATGGTGAATGACTTGATACTTCAACATAAACTCAAATCTGATAAAAGTTTTGAATTTTGGAAAATGGAAATAGAGGAAAACAGACAACCATTAACCACAAGCGAAATCGGCCTCCAAAATAAATTTCTCTTACTGAGGTAAAAACGTGTTCATGGTGTTTGAAGCGTTGAGCAATTTCACTTTACTTGCCCTTATGCTCTTATGGGAGTATGATCTTAGAAGTGCTAACATCGTTTTGTGTAAAAGGGCCTATGTCCTTCTTGTACAAGTGAAGCGACACACTGGGCAACATTGATGATGCAATGTTTTCACATATACCCATTGTGCTAGACAATGCAAAACCATTCAACTGACTGCTTACCTTCACAACTCTCTTGCAACACGCAGATACTGCCCGATCCCGGGGGGCAATCATCCCACTTGGGAAGTGGGCACCATTTTTGGTGTTGATCAAAAGTTGTTCTTTTCTGAAAAAAAAACAACCCTTAGAATGCATATGTAAGTATCCACAAAGGTGTGCAGGTCCAATACAGTGGTCACACCCCATGGTACAGGTCCTATATAGTGGTCACACCCCAGTGTACAGGTCCTATATAGTGGTCACACCCCATGGTACAGGTCCTATATAGTGGTCACACCCCAGTGTACAGGTCCTATACAGTGTTCACACCCCAGTGTGCAGGTCCTATACAGTGTTCACACCCCAGTGTGCAGGTCCTATACAGTGGTCACACCCCAGTGTGCAGGTCCTATACAGTGGTCACACCCCAGTGTACAGGTCCTATACAGTGTTCACACCCCAGTGTGCAGGTCCTATACAGTGTTCACACCCCAGTGTGCAGGTCCTATACAGTGTTCACACCCCAGTGTGCAGGTCCTATACAGTGGTCACACCCCAGTGTGCAGGTCCTATACAGTGGTCACACCCCAGTGTGCAGGTCCTATACAGTGTTCACACCCCAGTGTGCAGGTCCTATACAGTGGTCACACCCCAGTGTGCAGGTCCTATACAGTGTTCACACCCCAGTCTGCAGGTCCTAATACAGGGGCTCACACCCAAGTGTGCAGGTCCTAATACAGGTGCTCACACCCCGGTGTGCAGGTCCTAATACAGGTGCTCACACCCTGGTGTGCAGGTCCTAATATAGTGATCACACCCCAGTGTGCAGGTCCTAATACAGGTGCTCACACCCTGGTGTGCAGGTCCTAACACAGATGCTCACACCCTGGTGTGCAGGTCCTAACACAGATGCTGACACCCCGGTGTGTAGGTCCTAACACAGGTGCTCACACCCCGGTGTGCAGGTCCTTATACAGGTGCTCACACCCTGGTGTGCAGGTCCTATACAGTGGTCACACCCCAGTGTGCAGGTCCTAATACAGGTGCTCACACCCTGGTGTGCAGGTCCTATACAGTGGTCACACCCCGGTGTGCAGGTCCTAACACAGGTGCCCACACCCTGGTGTGCAAGTCCTATACAGTGGTCACGCCCCAGTGTGCAGGTCCTAATACAGGTGGTCACACCCCGGTGTGCAGGTCCTAATACAGGTGGTCACACCCCGGTGTGCAGGTCCTAATACAGGTGCTCACACCCGGGTGTGCAGGTCCTAATACAGGTGCTCACACCCTGGTGTGCAGGTCCTATACAGTGGTCACACCCCAGTGTGCAGATCCTAATACAGGTGCTCACACCGCAATGTGCAGGTCCTAATACAGGTGCTCACACCCCAGTGTGAAGGTCCTAATACAGGTGCTCACACCCTTGTGTGCAAGTCCTATACAGTGGTCACGCCCCAGTGTACAGGTCCTAATACAGGTGCTCACACCCGGGTGTGCAGGTCCTAATACAGGTGCTCACACCCTGGTGTGCAGGTCCTATACAGTGGTCACACCCCAGTGTGCAGGTCCTAATACAGGTGCTCACACTGCAATGTGCAGGTCCTAATACAGGTGCTCACACCCCATTGTGCAGGTCCTAATACAGGTGCTCACACCCTGGTGTGCAGGTCCTAATACAGGTGCTCACACCCCGGTGTGAAGGTCCTAATACAGGTGCTCACACTCTGGTGCAAGTCCTATACAGTGGTCACACTCCAGTGTGCAGGTCCTATACAGTGGTCACGCCCCAGTGTGCAGGTCCTAATACAGGTGGTCACACCCTTGTGTGCAGGTCACAATACTGGTGTTCCTTAAACCACTAAGGCAGGGACCTAGTAAAGGTTAAATATTTTTTGAAAGCAAGCTAGCTGACAGTACCGGTCATCCAACTTGAAGACAATCACGAGTCTGAGAACCAGGATGCAGTGGTCACGTAGGGCAGGTAGCATAGCCGGGTGACGAGCTGCTTCAACCGCTGCATAGTACTTCTGGGTACACTTGATCAGCTTTAGAATGTCAAAAGATCTGAAAGTTTCATTAATATACATTAGATTCCTTCATCAATCAATCACTTTCTCTATCAAAACAGAGAGAGATTATCATAAGAGCATAAACACTGACTAAGTAAACTGTTCGTGAACTACATTTTGTCTTATTGGATATCAGAGGCTAAAATAAACTGTTCAATCTTTCCTTAAACATGTTCCTGACAAAAGAAATAACAAAGATGCCTTGACTCAGCTCTTTTCATGCAAGGTTTCATCAGCTTCCATTCTAAATACAAGAGACACATAGTACATCTGGGTGCTACCACCTATCTTGGTTTATTGCCTATCTTGGCCTACCACCTATCTTGGCCTACTGCCTATCCTGGCCTACCACCCATATTGGCCTACCACCAATCCTGGCCTACTGCCTATATTGGCCTACTGCTTATCTTGGCCTACTACCTATCTTGGCCTACCACCTATCTTGGCCTACCACCTATCTTGGCCTACCACCTATCTTACCCTACCGCCTATCCTGGCCTACCGCCTATCTCGGCCTACCGCCTATCTTGGCCTACCGCCTATCCTGGCCTACTGCCTATCTCGGCCTTCGGCCTATCTCGCCCTACTGCCTATCCTCTATCTCGGCCTACCACGTATCTCGGCCTACCGCCTATCTCGGCTTACCGCCTATCCTGGCCTACCACCTATCTTGGCCTACCACCTATCTTGGCCTACCGCCTATCTTGGCCTACCATCTATCTTGGCCTACCACCTATCTTGGCCTACCGCCTATATTGGCCTACCGCCTATCCTGGCCTACTGCCTATCTTGGCCTACTGCCTATCCTTGCCTACTGCCTATCTTGGCCTACTGCCTATATTGGCCTACCACCTATCTTGGCCTACCACCTATCTTGCTCTACTGCCTATCTTGGCCTACCTCAGCTGCGTCTCCGAGCTCTTGATGGTGTCCATGCTCATCCAGCGACCTTGTAAGGATTCTGAATCCTTCTCCTTGGTTGACTTCAGATTGCCTCCTGAACGGAACAACGGAACATTAACAACAGCTCATCAGCAGATAAACACAACAGCAGCTCAGCAGCAAATAAACACAACAGCAGTTCATCAGCAGATAAACACAACAGCAGCTCATCAGCAGATTAACAGAACAGCAGTTCATCAGCAGATTAACAGAACAGCAGCTCATCAGCAGATTTAACAGAACAGCAGCTCATCACAATTAACAGAACAGCAGCTCATCAGCAGATTAACAGAACAGCAGCTCATCACAATTAACAGATCAGCAGATAAACAAACATTTAATAATTAAAAAATATAGATAAATATGCCTCGGTCGTATGAAGCCAATCACTCTCCTACCCAAAGTTCCTTGCGGCCAGCCAAGTACCGGTCACATGTCACATCTTACATAATCTATTCATGTGTCTTTCATGAAAGATTTAACATTCATTGTGAAAATATCCTAAAATGTGAAAAACTATTTTCATTTGCATACTCTTCCTCCACATGCTGTCATTGAAGCCCTATGGAGAGCTGACAATACCCTTACTTTGATGCGTAAAGCTATATTGTCATGCACCTCACTGTCACAGTTGTAGCAGTACACCTGTACAATTATGCAAATCAATTTTTAAAAAAGGGCACCGAAAGGCTTGCATTGATCCTGCCTGTTCTTATTTAAGAATAAGTATTTACAAACAAGAGAAAAAAGTCCCCGCAAAAGCATACAGCCGCAGTGCGGTCACTGGAGCAGAAACTTCTCTTGCTGAATAAGGCGAGCAGAAACTCAGGGGTTATCAGTTATTGTTTACAAACAATACTTCAGAGCAGTCAACGTACTGTCCCTTTAATATAACAGCAGCTCATCAGCCGATTAATACAACAGCAGCTCATTAACAGAACGGCAGCACATTAACAGAACAGCAGCTCATCAACAGAACAGCAGCTCATTAACATTACAGCATCTTCAGCTCAATAACAGACAAGCATAGCACAGGCTAGGTCAACAACAGCAAACAGAAGTTCTGGGACAGAACAGCTCATTCACAGCAGTGCAGCCGATCAAGAATAGGACAACAAAATCACTGCATTTACAACAGTACAGCTGAAAGTAATGAGAAACCAGTTCTCCACATCACAATATGGTACCTAATTTTCAGAGGTCATGTTCAGTAATATGACAGCAGATGATGTTCAGAACAGAGAATGTCCCGCAGAATTCAAAACTATGAAGTGTATGTGTGTACTTTGAGTTTTATTCGACTTGAAAGTGAGGGTTGAAGAGGAGGGACATTTTGGGGTCTTTCTCCACAGTTTTCCTCCATACTGAGTTTCATCACTGCCAAAATGGGATGTAGCCATTTGTTTCCTGTAGTAGATTCATCCTACAAACAAGTCAGTGAGTAGGGTTTAACACTACTTTGAACAGTATTCTAGTTAGCTTACTTTGGGAGGAAACCTGAAGTAATACTGGTGTCAGATGTTTACCACTTTCATGAGCATGGGGATCATGCTGACAAACCAAGAATGATAATCTGGATGACCGGGATTCGAACCAATGATCATAGGTTTCTGGCATGTCAAAGGGGTGCAACTCTGCACAGCGGCAACCCACAAGGACTGGTCCAGGATCGCAGTGGGCAAGTCGGGATTTGAACCCATGATTTCCCGATCCTGATAGTTACATATTTGAAAGATAAATAACCTGTTTGATGGAAAGCATGCCTTTTCCAATTCTTGAGCTGGTTTGAATTGTTATTCATGGGTCATAGAAGGCCATAATTTCTTTCCAAAGATCATGATGAAGATGAAACCTGTATAATTGTCACTCACCACATCCTTAAGGTGAGCAGACAGACAGACAAAAAGACAGACAGACAAAAAGACAGACAGACAGACAGACAGACAAAAAGACAGACAGACAGACAGACAGACAAAAAGACAGACAGACAAAAAGACAGACAAACAAAAAGACAGACAGACAAAAAGACAGACAAACAAAAAGACAGACAGACAGACAAAAAGACAGACAAAAAGACAGACAAAAAGACAGACAAACAAAAAGACAGACAGACTAAAAGACAGACAGACTAAAAGAGACAAACCAAAAGACAGACAAACAAAAAGACAGACAAACAAAAAGACAGACGAAAAGACAGACAAAAAGACAAAAAGACAAAAACACAGACATGTCAAAAGAAGTGAAAGAACTCCTGATTCTTTCAAATTACTTTAGATAATGTGTCATGCCATAACAGAATAAGTATAGTAACATGAAAGAACCAGGTGTTCTTTCACTTCTTTTGAGCAGTATATAACATGATATAAAGTAAAAGATGACCATTTGACCATGCTGGCAGCCATGTCAGTCAACATACAATTGTGGTACCAAGACAATATCCATGACATTATCATCTGATCATTAAGAGGTTTTTCATGTTAATGGCCCTTTCTTTTCAGTGATATCTTTCATTTAACATTTTCATTAGTCATCTTTTCAATTTTAAACAAAAGTATGTAAGTGTTTTCTTTTCATTCTGGTTCTACAGAAGAAGCTAAGTATGTTGTTTTTTGCAACAATAGCTACCAAAAATTACTTCCAATTTCTGCATTATAGTGTTACTCACACCAAGTTACAGATTTTTGGGCATTGTGGAAGATATTTTAATATCACAGTGTACAAAAATACTATTTTAATTCATAGCAAATAAAGATTCAGTTTCATATAGGAAGAAACTTGAACATCCTTGTAACCAGGATCGCCTCCACAAAATTTTCAAGTAGTTGGAGAAGACATCTTAAATGTCAAATGTTTACACAATGGTGACGGATGACATGCTACAACATAAGCTCACATGGCATTTTGACCAAGTGAGCTCAAAATGGGCCCTGGCTTTGCCCTGACATGGCCCTGCTAACTGTGTATTGACCTGTGACTCTGCCTGTGAAGGTGAACCTATGCCAGACACCCGAGCTACACTCCACACTGATCAGGGTTGTCGGCTCACACTCGAGGCCAGTCTCCTCTTTGACCTCACGCTTCACTCCATCCTGTGTAATACAGAGACGAAGCATAGTACCAGCAGACCACAACAGTGTGGGAAATAGTCAAAATATCGCTTGCCACGTGGGCTAGCTGGCCGTAAAAGTTACTAGCCAGAATAAACATTTCACTAACTTACATATGCTACAGTTTATTTTTCGAGAAATTAGATTCTACAATTGTATCAATAGAGTAAACCCAAACAGCAAATCATGAGTAAATATTAGAAGGGGGACTACTCTGATCTTGCAACCTCGCTTTGTTATGGATATTAATTTGATTTTTCGCTGATCATATATATATAGAAATGGGAGGATATAATTCAATTTTATCAACCATTAAAGAAGTGTACATAAAAAGATCACCGTTACAGTTTCAGTAGCCTGTCGGGCTTGGGACATTTCAGAGTCTTCAGCCCAACTAAAGTTTTACTAGCCCACGGCTAGCAGGGCAGCTATTTCGCACACTGGGCCATAACATTAGTTACAAAGGTACCTGACAACAAAACATACTTCCTTAAGCATAAACAGAGCCACATGTGTAATGTGGGTCAAGTTATTGCATTGTTCTGGGACCAGCTACTTCCTACTTTGTTAAACCATCACCCAGCACCGAGCAAAACACTGCTGTGTAAGCATTATACACTTTGCATTCTACATGTTCTACAATATGATACAAAGCAAACTTTTCAGTATTAGGCCAGGCCAATTTACACTTGTTTTACAGACTTTCATCTCCAAAGAATCCAATGGCTGGAGGAAATAAAAAATAAAAAACTCTTTTGTGAATAAAAAAACAATGACCATATTTTTTACCATGATTACTGCACTGAGCCTATTGCCATATTGCCTTGTGTAAAATGTACACCCACCTCTGTCAATTGTTCAATTGGTTTCTTAGCACCGCACACAGCAATATTCCAGCTATATGACAGCGGTCTGTAAATGATCCAGTGATTGATATCATGAGCACCAACAACACCTATGCTGTCTAGTATTCCTACAAGGGTTCACTGTTCATACCTGTTTAAATATATTCCATGTTTTTTTATAGCCCACGAAAATTGATCCAGCTTTAATATTTTTTATTAATATTTTATATTTTTAAGCATTGTCAGGAAACCACTTTTCCAACATAATTAGAAGTCAATTTCCATTTTGCTCCATTTTTCTTTTCCTTACACAATGTCATTCATAGTGTGTCAGATTCATGGCGGAACCTACATGTAGAGACCATGTCTTTAGACCCATCTCGTCAAAGTTCAAGTCATAGAATTATTACTAAAGAGGTCATGTGGCTCATTAAGATCAAGTTTACTTTTATAGATTTGCAAACAACCACAAAAAATTCACACATTCATATTTGAAAAAAACAAAACATGAGTTACAAGAATTTCTTAAAATGACCTTACACTTAAACATCGACATTTTCAGGTAAAAAGAAATGTTATTTGTTTGTTGTTTTACATCACACTCAGCAATATTCCAGCTATATGATGGCGTTTATATATAAACGAGTCTGGATCAGATAATCCATTGATTGATATTGTGAACGATCCACAGAATTGGGGTAAGATGAGTCAGATGACACGTCATCAACCAAGTTACTGAGTCTGAGCACCCGACCCATTTTCAGGGATTTATCTAAGATTCCACACTCAGTGCTCTTGGCAGGCAAAATGGGGAAAAAATGAGAGATATTGTTCAAAATTGGATTTTGTTACTGTTCATATTTTTTAATTTTTGAAAATTTGAATTTTTTAATTCAAATTGGGAATTTTTACTGTCATTTGCTGCAGACTTGGAACATATATATCATCCTCTGAGCAGGGCCCACTGGCACAAATCGATTTTAGCCCTACGACTATTGTGAGCCTATGTTAAAGTAGGGGAGTTACGATCATCTTAGCACTAAGGCTGCTTTGTGCAAGTGGGCCCAGTCTACCCGGTAGGTAAATCCCTGATTTGGTCGCCTTATAGGACGCTAGGGAGATATTCTAACCCAGATTGCCACCGGGACTAGATGAGGGATGTAAACAGTCCTACCACGAGGTTCTCTCCTGGCTCCAGTCTCCCAGCGGGCAGGTACCAGTCTCCATAACAAGACCGCTTTGCTTCCTGCATCATCAGCACCTCATTCTTGTCATTGATGAGAACCCCACACACAATGTAGCCAATCGACAGCTTTGTCAGTGGGACAAAAGATTCTGAAAAACACAATAAATATAAACATGTGTTTTGAGGGTGTCACTTGTACACTGCATGAGATTTTACCACCGTGGGTTTGTAGAACAAGAGACAGAAGGTCAAATAAGCTTGTACACTCCAGTACACACTGCTAGTGATATAACTCATAGTACACTCTGCTAGTGACACACATAACTCATAGTACACCCTGCTAGTGACACACATAACTCATAGTGCACCCTGCTAGTGACACATAACTCATGGTGCACCCTGCTAGTGACACACATAACTCATAGTACACCCTGCTAGTGACACACATAACTCATAGTACACCCTGCTAGTGACACATAACTCATAGTGCACCCTGCTAGTGACACATGACTCATAGTACACCCTGCTAGTGACATATAACTCATAGTACACCCTGCTAGTGACACACATAACTCATAGTGCACCCTGCTAGTGACACATAAATCATAGTGCACCCTGCTAGTGACACACATAACTCATAGTGCACCCTGCTAGTGAGACATAACTCATAGTACACCCTGCTAGTGACACATATAACTCAAAGTGCCCCCTGCTAGTGACACACATAACTCATAGTACACCCTGCTAGTGACACACATAACTCATAGTACACCCTGCTAGTGACACATAACTCATAGTACACCCTGCTAGTGACATGTAACTCATAGTACTACCTGCTAGTGACACATAACTCACAGTGCACCCTGCTAGTGACATGTAACTGATAGTAAACCCTGCTAGTGACACACATAACTCATAGTACACCCTGCTAGTGACACACATAACTCATAGTACACCCTGCTAGTGACACACATAACTCAGAGTGCACCCTGCTAGTGACACACATAGCTCATAGTACACCCTGCTAGTGACACATAACTCATAGTACACTCTGCTAGTGACACACATAACTCATAGTACACCCTGCTAGTGACACATAACTCATAGTACACCCTGCTAGTGACACACATAACTCATAGTACACCCTGCTAGTGACACACATAACTCATAGTACACCCTGCTAGTGACACACATAACTCATAGTACACCCTGCTAGTGACAAATAAAAAGAGTACATGTTTACGAGTTCACAAGTTACAAAAAAAATAAAACTGTGAAATATTTGTGTGTGACAATTTGATCTATCTTGTGACTGCCATCAGACTTTCCTTGAGGTAACTTCAACTTAATTACAGGTAGGCAAAGCATGTATACTGTTGGTCATCTACCACCTACGACTCGACCTTCGTTAAAACGCTGATCATCTATAACACTCATCAATTATTTGGACCCCGAAGGTAGCGTTGTAGCGAGGGATCACTGTATCTAGTTTCACTATACAGGGTTGACACGCCCAGTCTAACCTGGATCTCAAAGCAATCAGAGCACAATGACAGGTTTCACCTCACTTATGACAAATAGGAGTCACAGCATATTCATCTGAGAATAGATGAGGGCAGGTTTAAGAGTAATAGAACTAACACATAAACAACTTTTAGTCCTTTACAAGATTTTGATAACAAAAATATCATCATGAAAGTTCTGTATTCCAAATTGCAGTTCTATTTTTGGTCTTCATCAAGGATATTGATATGAATGATCTTTATTATGATGACAACATTTATGAAGACACATTTCCGCATACATGTGCATCTCACCTGCATCTATAACTCTGACATCAACGTGCGACATCGGGATGGACTCTCCTCGAAGAAGTCTTCTCAAGTTCTCCTCCAAGTCATCCATTGTTTTCCTGTCAGTCAGTGGTGAGTGGGTGGGGTTTCTGTCTCAGTAGCAGTGTGTATGGCAGTTAACTGAAATAAGTGATCAGGAGTGTTTAGCAGGAATCGATCACAATTTTGGGGAATTGAATGCAAACAATGGTGCCTCAGCACCTACAAATGACAGATGTGGAAGTATAATTACACAGAAGCAGTAACCATGGTTACTTATTTTGTCAGAGCTGACAGAAATGGGTATTGTCTGTTTGCAATGTTTAACATGGCTGATTGTGTATCACTGCATAAATAGATTGCAAGTGATTCTGTTCCATTTGATTGGCTAACCAAGAACCGAGAATATATTTATGATGGACAGAGAACACATGACGGGGTAGCCAATAAGACAGGAAGCCAGTTAAACAGGATAAGTATACATAGGTGGGGTGATTATTGCTTAATGAGTTCATAGCAGGCGGATGGTATGAGTAGCCTTCATCTCTGTTGATTGATGGCTTGTGGCAGTGAATGTGGACTACTTCTGTTAGTTTTCTTTTAGTGAAGTCATGGAGGTTATTGAAGAGGATTTGGACAATTCCCCAGTTGATGTGATTGGGGCTGTTCCTGCCTTGTTGGCTTCCTCATCATGTGTTCTCTGCCCATCATGTTATAGTATTATCCCTTTGTTGTCACTACTTAACATACTCATGTCAAACTCTCTCTTGTATGCAATTGTTGTTTTATCACTTGCCCATGAAGAGATCACCCGTTTAATTAACATACAGCTGTATTACACATTGTGTAATACCAAAATGCGTGCTTGTGTACTCTCGGAACACGTTTCACGAACAAATATTGAAAGCTCTCAACATCCCTTGGCTTATTCAACGACATTGCACGTGAGGATGATAGATCACTGAGAGGAGCTTATGCACACTCGATGACCCCAGCAACCTTGTTGCTAGGCTGACATCACATGGCATTGTTTCGCCGAAGGATCTTGCAACAAAATTCCACAAATTACGTCATCGGGTATTGTGACGAGATTGGTAACTTTGAGGTGCAAGGCCCCGTTCCACAAGGCGATCATACTGTAGCGCAACGACAGTCGTTGGTCTAAGTTAAAGTATGTGAGTTGCGATAACCTTAACGCTACAATAATTTTGTGGAAGGGACGCCTGAATTCTAAAGGTGGGCCGTTGTTTGGTATTAAAATCATACGTTTCAAGTTTTGAATTGTTTGACTTGTTAAATGGCAAGTAATAAATAAGATACTAAACTCATTCCCGTGTAAAACCAATTTTATGAAACTCGTGAATAGTTGTGGTATCTGACGAGCAAAAGCAAGTCAGATACCACAACTATTCACGAGTTTCATAAAATTGGTATTATAAAGGAGTGAGTTTAGTATTCTATATATTGTTAATCCTCCACCTACCATATATATTCAGTACCATATCATATCCATATATCATATCATTCATATCTAAGAACCCTATCAACAACAGTGCTGGTTACGGGATCCATATCCACAGCTCCAAACCCCAAGCACATTCGGTTCGCCTGCCTGATGGTCAGTCAGAATTCACGGCTGAATTGGAGGCAATTCATCATGCACTCAAACTCATACCGGAACTCCCGGAAGCAAAGGCAGTCGTCCTATCAGACTTGCTAAGTGCACTTCAAGCCATCAGCGGCAGAAACTCAAACTCCAGGCCAAACACAGTCAACAATATTCTATATGAATATACAAAACTATCAGACCAAGGGCCACAGGTGGAGCTGTGTTTGATCCCCTCTCACATAGATATTCATGGAAATGAAAAAAAAAAATCACTGGCAAAGCTAGCTCTAGACAAAGCAGAGATACAGCCTATTCCCTTAAGTAAACTAGAGATAAAAAGCAAAATCAAAGCCTCCATAGCCCAAAGAGCCCAATGGGACGCAAGTAAGATCGGCAGATGGCTATACAAAATTCAACCCAAGATCCAACAAAAGCCAAACTTACTCAAATGAAAGGAAAATTTTAATTGCCATCACGCCTCAGACTCTGTCACAAAAAGCACTATGACAAGGTTTGTTCATCTTGCAATCAGGCTGAATCCATTGCTAACGGGTTGCTAGAATGTCAAGACCACACCCCAGCCCGGGCTCAGTTAAAACAAGAATCTGCTATCTGTCGTAGATCTCCTAAAGCCAAGAGATGCAATAGCAAAGGCCAAACTAACTCTATTTCTGAGAGATGGACAGCTACTCGAACGTATATAAACAGAGCAGACATTATATCAATATACGAATATAGAAATATAGGACCTAGGGCAGCTGTCGTAAGTCTATGTTAAAGTATGGGAGTTACGATCATCTTAGCATTAAGATTGCTTTGTGGAACGGGGCCCTGGTCTTTATTACCCAAACAGGATTTCAGTAATAAAACGCTTGTTACTGATTGTTAATTGTTACTTTAATTATTCACAATGTCATGATCAAAGGTCATTTCTAACATTCAACAATGTATGCAATGTTGTACTTTTTGTAGGATTAACAGAAAAAGCAGGAACAGTACATGTATAATAAATTAAAAGTGAGTGAGTATGGTTTTATGCCGCTTTTAGCAATATTCCAGCAATATCATGGCAGTGGACACCGGAAAATGGGCTTCACAAGTTGTACCCTTATGGGTAATCAAACCTGGGTCTTCAGTGTGACAAGCAAATGCTTTAACTACTAGGCTACCCCTACGCCCCTAAGAATCACAAGACAGATAAACGTGGCAAACATACAAGTCAATGAAGACAGTTGTCACCACCACGCCGTTAACTTTAGGCCATATAATAGCTTGGTTTGTTTTGGAAGCCAAATATGGAACATGAGATTTCACCACTTTCACTAGGGCATTTAAATACTTTCTGCGAGTATTATGATTTTTTCTCTCTCGGAAATATACTCAATGTATCTCGGAAAATTGATATTCGCAACAAAATCACACTCATTTTGTTCACTTTTCTTGTCCTTGAAATACCAACAATGGGTGTGGTTCAGTGGTTGGTGACTGTGTAAATGTGCAAGAACAGAGAGACAAACTATTTCTTTCAAACTCAAAATGTATAACTATACATCTATTACTTTCAGACTGATGTTCAATTTATATATTTTACTCATATAAACAAATACAACAACTAGCCTATCCAGTGACAAATGTTCACACTGCAATATTAACATGATGAACATGTCACCAGTATATCGGTATATATGGTCTATGTTTAACTTAACTGTCCATCAACTTCTCTTTTCGAATGTGTCAATACCGAAATAAAGATTGTGCCTGTACCCAAAAATTCAATAAAGGGGGAGAACAAAGATACAAATTAGGGCTAACTCGGGTACTCGGGTCGGGTGGGTACTGAGGAGGACCCGGGTACCCACAGGACTACCAAGACCTGTGGTCACGTGATATATTGTTTAATGACAAAAAGTATCTAAAACTCTATGTTTAAACTACAAGTCACTCATGTTGGCAGTTCTTCCTAACTACTACGCCCATTCCTTCTGACTTTTATATGTTTTAATAAATATAAAACTTCAGTCAACTTCAGTGTACACACCAGATCATTTCATACATGTATCTAGACACATTTTACCAGCGCTGCGGTCAAACTTTTCCCAATCGGAAACCTACAGCGGGTACCCGGGTAGGGTCGGGTAATAGGGGGGTGGGTACCCGGGTAGTAAATCTGGACTCGTCCCAGCCCTAAAAGTACTAATACAAATACAGCAACGATCAATATATTAAACAAACGAGTTGAAACGTACTCTGCAAAATGAAAGCACAGGCTCTATTGTACTTTAAGAGAGGCCCTCGCACCCTCGAGAATATCTTTTACATATTTAAACGTACAACAAAAGCAGAATTTATGGCAAGTAACTTTTCCGTAAACAGTTAACAGATTACAAATTCTATACAAAATGCTGCGCAGCCAGTTGATCCAAACACAATGACGTCAAGATCCAATTCGTTCTATGATTCACCCCTTGCAGTTGTCTGAGTCGAGCACCTCGTCCGAGACAGCGTATTACTAAAGTTCTGACTAGGCTAAATCATTGACGCTCCGATCTGTTGGATTTGTTAATCCTAGATAACTTACTGGACTCTTGCTGAGCTGTCCCTAGAGGTGTGTTGCTTGTCGACGTTGCGTTTGCTGACATGTAGTGTCGTATACCTATTTGTGGTAGCTGTAAACAATTTGTGTACATTAGAGTTACTTGCCCTTGATTTTATTGACGTCGCTAGACTTTGTCAGTCTCCTATCGCCGATAAATTTCAAACTATCCCGTCTCCGTTTACATTGATAACAGTATTGTGAGCTAAGTTTGATGTTTTCTTATGATGAAAACACATAGTACCAATATCAATTGTCACTAAAACAGTTAACAGTTAGTAAGTGTAGTTGTATTTAGACAGATCTTTGTGAGCCAGTATATTATGCTGCATGTAGAACTGCAATGACGGTTCTTAAACATTATTATAAACATTGTGCATATATATACTGGACAAAGTGAGGACATTTTCTCTTTACTGTTTGTATACAGATTTGGTTTTGGAAAGGGTAAATTTCTTCTACATTGCCCAAAAGAACACACACACACACACACACACACACACACACACACACACACACACACACACCACCACCACCACGCATGACGGCGGTCTGTAAATAATGTGGATTCTCGACCATAAAATCCAGTGATTGACGTCATGAGCATGGATCTACGCAATTGGGATACAATGATATGCATCAGCCAAGTCAGCGAGTTGTGATACTTTGTAGTCTGTTTAATCCAAATTGGCTTCTTCTCACGTATAACTTAATATTGCTACTGTGTAACAGGCTGAAGTATTTATGAATGTGTATATGACATTTAATTAAGGTTGGTTCCTAAGTTAGTTGTTAGTTAGTAAAGCTGGCTGGCCTTGTAGTTAGTTAGTTAGTTAGTTAGTTAGTTGGTTGGTTGGTTGGTTGGTTGGTTGGTTGGTTAGTTAGTTAGTTAGTTAGTTACAATACGAATATATTATTAGTTAGACTGTTATAGTTAGACTATTAGTTATATTTTAAACTTTAGCATTTTATACTATAAAACATTCATTCCATAGCTCTGTACATTAAGTGAACTCTCTCAGTTTAACCTCCACTAATTGGCACCTGTATGTTTATTACTCACAGCTAACACCACCACCACCACCCCACCCCCACCCCCCACCCACCACCCACCACCCCACCCCACCCCACCCCACCCCACCCCCGACCCATTCTGTTGTCTCGTTGTTAGGCCAAGCTGGCCCCATGTCCACTTCAATGGTGAGAATTTATACCAGTTGCCAGTTTATGTTCTAAAGGGAGAACACTTCTCTAGTACCGATTCTGTATGTTTATTGACGAGTTCCTGGGCACCGTTTCTCATCATGCCAGGATATAGAGGGACCTGATAGGGAGGTTATTCATACCAGAGACCACATACCGTCATGGTCCCTTTTCATACTTCAAGTTAGTTGTGAGGGCACGGGTGGCCCAGTCGTCTACGGCGCTGCGATTCGCTGTGCAGAGTTGCGTCCCTTGGGCACGCCAGAAACCTATGATTGTGGGTTCGAATCCCGGTTGGCCCCGATTATGTTTCTAGGTTTGTCAGCACCATACCCGTGCTCGTGGGTTTCACCGAAGTGGTAAACGTCTGTGACCTGCATCACTTCGGGCTTTCCTCCCACGTTAAGCTGGCACGCCGTGATATAACTGGAATACTGTTAAAAGCGTCGTTAAACCCAACTCACTCACTCACTCAAGTTAGTTGATAATGTATTGCATGTTGTATATATGGATGATTTCATGTTATTGTGATTAGATCTAGGGTGAATTGTGCTGTGCAATCTGATTGCTTTGGTTGATTAAAAATGTGCCATGTATATATTTATAGATGTAGATGAACTCACGAGTTGTTATTGATTATCTCCACAATTTTGAATAACTTGAGTATTAAACTCTATTCTAAATGTATTACCCATAAATATTGTTTCTAGTAGCTAGTAAATATGAATGTATGTCTGTATGTTTGACATGAGTGATTGATGTATCTGGGTCAATGCAGTGTATGAGCGTTGTATACTTGATATGAGTGGCTATTGTTATATTGTATCACTTGTATATTTATTTATAGTTTTCCGCATATATATTCATTCCTTATGTCAATGTGTCACTGGCGACGCTACATACATACAGCTCGGCTAAAACAAGGACTGGTCGGCTCAGAGTCAGTATACAGTGTCTGAGTGGGATATTCATTTTAAACTGCGGCATGGTATCTCAGTGGGCTAGCACTATAAATCGGCATCAGTCCGGACTAGTACAAGCAGCCACACACATACATACACGTGCATGCACGTCGCTATATAAGTGCAATAATCTTGGACGCGACGTTAAACCCCATTTCACCTCACCTTTATAACAATATAATTGTATTAAAATGTTTGGTATCCGTGTATCTTGACGTGTTGTCCAGGGACTCGTTCCACAAAGTGGTCTTAGTGCTACGACTGTCGTAAGTCAGTGTTAAAGAATGGGAGTTATGACCGACTTAGCGCTAAGATAGCTTTGTGGAACGGGGCCCTGATACGTACGAAGTACTGGATGGAGCTAATGTAAGTGTTATGTATTAATGAAAGTGGTATGTTTTATTTTATTGTAACAGTTTGTATATATTTATTATATACTATTTTACATTTGCGTATCTTGATATATCATTATTTCAGGCTGACGTACGCACATATGTATTTATATGCTCTGCAGAAGTAACTATATCGACCTCACACCCCTCAGTTGTTTGTGATCATTTAGGACGCTACTACTACCAGCTATCAGATATCCCACGCCGCTAAACCATGGACCTCAGTATTTAGGTCCGTGTGCATGAACTTATTTAAGGTAAAGTCTCCTTTCTTTTGGGGGTATGAAAGACACAGCTTAAATCTAAGCTGGGCCGGGTTCGCTCATATAATGGATAGGTTAAGCCACTGTATGTCATATGTTACTGTTTGATACTGTATTTCACGTGACTAATACATATGTTGGGATATTGTTGTGTCGATCCCAATTCTCCCTGACCATCCTCATGAATGAGTCTTCTGCAATGCTTCTAGGTTAGGCTATGAGCTGGCAGCACATGTCCCTCAGACCTGGCCCCGATTTCTCGAAACAAACTTTAGTTTTTACTCAAATCTCAAACTGAGTTTGAAAAAAAAACTCAGCTGGGTTTTTAACTCAACTGCATTTCTCGAATCAAACTCAGTTTTTGAACTTAAGTTTGTTTCGAGAAATCGGGGCCTGAACACCCTTCTCCCTTCTCCCTCCCCCGCGGAATACCATAGAAGTATCATCAGTCACACTGTTAACTTGTTGAGGGTTGGTATTGATGGGTTACAGTCAAAACGGCCACCAAAGAAGTTAAAATGGCCACACCAAATCGTCAAACGGGACACAATTCCAGTGGGTAATATTTGATATTGTAAGTGCAGGTTGCTCGTGTGACCCAATACTAATATGTTTTAAATATGTGATTTAATTTATAATTTGTTTATATGTTAAATGTCTCTCATAACCCTGAATGGGTGGCCATGTGTATCTTGTGGTGTTATGTATTTTGTGACCATGGGTGAGACAAAAATAAACAATTGTTCTTCTTTTTCTTCTTCCAAAGTGGCGACATTCTAAATGTAAAAGTAAAACATTTGTATGTTATAGCTTTATTCCGTATTCCTGTGGTCGCTGCTGCTCAAAGGCTACGTATCCCTGTGTACTAACAGGATTCTGTTATAGATTTCATTTTAGTTGTCATTGTGGCCATTTTCACTAAAATTTGGGGCCATTTTCTCCTGCACCCATCAAGGGCGGGTAAAAAGGGAGGCGTCCAAAATATCAAAATACTCTCTCAGATAATTTTACTGCCTACAACATATACATTTGGTTTTGAAAACGCGTTATTATATAACAAAAAGTCAAATGGAATCCAGCAACGACCACCAACAATGCAAGCCAATGCAAAGCGCCACTGGACGCACTGTAACTCGAGACGTCATGAATGCAAGAGTTACCTCCCCTCCTTTGTCTCCGGGAATCGCGACAGTATTGTTAGAAGTTCGGCTTTGAGATGTTGAAGATTGAACCCCCTACTGTTTAACAAACCACGGTGTTCGGTCCACATACAGCTACGTGAGGAAGTCTTCGAGGTATGATAGAGGTAGACCAAGACAGTAAAACCAGACCTCATAATGTGGTTGTCAATATAAACAATGCATTGCTCCCTAAAACTACACAGAACAAGATTTTGAACGGAAAGACATACATGTATATAGTTTGCTGGTCCTTGCACTCGATAACTGCACGTCGTATCAAACATATATTTGAAACAAGTCTGTATCCCAATCATATGTTATACAAATAAGCGATAAATTTAGAAGGATGGGTTTTGTTACGTGTATATTTTATTGTTTATCATGTATCTTTCAAATCTTGGCTGGCTTCACCGTGTTCACCTGGGTTAACAAAATCTAATTTATGTTGCAGTACTGTTATACGATGTTCCAACTACAGTTGTTGCAAGTTGGAAAGTGAACAGTATATTATCTCAATGTTACACCTTCAGGAGTTGCAGATTGGCTAATACACAGTATATCACAATGTTACACCTTCAGGAGTTGCAGGTTGGCTAATACACATTATATCACAATGTTACACCTTCAGGAGTTGCAGGTTGGCTAATACACAGTATATCACAATGTTACACCTCCAGTTGTTGCAGGTTGGCTAATACACATTATATCACAATGTTACACCTTCAGGAGTTGCAGGTTGGCTAATACACAGTATATCACAATGTTACACCTCCAGTTGTTGCAGATTGGCTAATACACAGTATATCACAATGTTACACCTTCAGGAGTTGCAGGTTGGCTAATACACAGTATATTACAATGTTACACCTTCAGGAGTTGCAGGTTGGCTAATACACAGTATATCACAATGTTACACCTTCAGGAGTTGCAGATTGGCTAATACACAGTATATCACAATGTTACACCTCCAGTTGTTGCAGGTTGGCTAATACACATTATATCACAATGTTACACCTTCAGGAGTTGCAGGTTGGCTAATACACAGTATATCACAATGTTACACCTCCAGTTGTTGCAGATTGGCTAATACACAGTATATCACAATGTTACACCTTCAGGAGTTGCAGGTTGGCTAATACACAGTATATTACAATGTTACACCTTCAGGAGTTGCAGGTTGGCTAATACACAGTATATCACAATGTTACACCTTCAGGAGTTGCAGGTTGGCTAATACACATTATATCACAATGTTACACCTTCAGGAGTTGCAGGTTGGCTAATACACATTATATCACAATGTTACACCTTCAGGAGTTGCAGGTTGGCTAATACACATTATATCACAGTGTTACACCTTCAGGAGTTGCAGGTTGGCTAATACACATTATATCACAATGTTACACCTTCAGGTGTTGCAGGTTGGCTAATACACATTATATCACAATGTTACACCTTCAGGAGTTGCAGGTTGGCTAATACACAGTATATTATCTCAATGTTACACCTTCAGGAGTTGCAGGTTGGCTAATACACATTATATTACAATGTTACACCTTCAGGAGTCGCAGGTTGGCTAATACACATTATATCACAATGTTACACCTTCAGGAGTTGCAGGTTGGCTAATACACATTATATTACAATGTTACACCTTCAGGAGTTGCAGGTTGGCTAATACACAGTATATTACAATGTTACACCTTCAGGAGTTGCAGGTTGGCTAATACACAGTATATTATCTCAATGTTACACCTTCAGGAGTTGCAGGTTGGCTAATACACATTATATTACAATGTTACACCTTCAGGAGTCGCAGGTTGGCTAATACACATTATATCACAATGTTACACCTTCAGGAGTTGCAGGTTGGCTAATACACATTATATTACAATGTTACACCTTCAGGAGTCGCAGGTTGGCTAATACACAGTATATTATCTCAATGTTACACCTTCAGGAGTTGCAGGTTGGCTAATACACATTATATTACAATGTTACACCTTCAGGAGTCGCAGGTTGGCTAATACACATTATATTACAATGTTACACCTTCAGGAGTTGCAGTTTGGCTAATACACAGTATATTATCTCAATGTTACACCTTCAGGAGTTGCAGGTTGGCTAATACACATTATATTATCTCAATGTTACACCTTCAGGAGTTGCAGGTTGGCTAATACACATTATATTACAATGTTACACCTTCAGGAGTTGCAGGTTGGCTAATACACAGTATATTATCTCAATGTTACACCTTCAGGAGTTGCAGGTTGGCTAATACACATTATATTACAATGTTACACCTTCAGGAGTTGCAGGTTGGCTAATACACAGTATATTATCTCAATGTTACACCTTCAGGAGTTGCAGGTTGGCTAATACACATTATATTACAATGTTACACCTTCAGGAGTCGCAGGTTGGCTAATACACAGTATATTATCTCAATGTTACACCTTCAGGAGTTGCAGGTTGGCTAATACACAGTATATTATCTCAATGTTACACCTTCAGGAGTTGCAGGTTGGCTAATACACAGTATATTATCTCAATGTTACACCTTCAGGAGTTGCAGGTTGGCTAATACACAGTATATTATCTCAATGTTACACCTTCAGGAGTCGCAGGTTGGCTAATACACAGTATATTATCTCAATGTTACACCTTCAGGAGTTGCAGGTTGGCTAATACACATTATATTACAATGTTACACCTTCAGGAGTTGCAGGTTGGCTAATACACATTATATCACAATGTTACACCTTCAGGAGTTGCAGGTTGGCTAATACACAGTATATCTCAATGTTACACCTTCAGGAGTCGCAGGTTGGCTAATACACAGTATATTATCTCAATGTTACACCTTCAGGAGTTGCAGGTTGGCTAATACACATTATATCACAATGTTACACCTTCAGGAGTTGCAGGTTGGCTAATACACATTATATCTCAATGTTACACCTTCAGGAGTTGCAGGTTGGCTAATACACATTATATTACAATGTTACACCTTCAGGAGTCGCAAGTTGGCTAATACACAGTATATTATCTCAATGTTACACCTTCAGAAGTTGCAGGTTGGCTAATACATATTATATTACACCTTCAGGAGTTGCAGGTTGGCTAATACACATTATATCACAATGTTACATCTTCAGGTGTTGCAGGTTGGCTAATACACATTATATCACAATGTTACAACTTCAGGTGTTACAGGTTGGCTAATACACAGTATATCACAATGTTACACCTTCAGGTGTTGCAGGTTGGCTAATACACATTATATTACAATGTTACACCTTCAGGTGTTGCAGGTTGGATTGTGAACAGTATATCCACTTAGTGGCATAAGCCCAAACTCTCCCTGTCAGCATCCCCCCTCTCACTGAATCTGATACTCTTTAGCCATGATCTTATCAGTTGTTCCCCTGCTCCAGTGAAGCAGGCACAGTCAAGCTGGTCCAAGTTTGTTTACTTTAGGGCACTGATGGCATGGGCCAGCTTGACACTCAAGGATTGAAACATAACACTCCAAGACAAAACAGTGAAACTACAGTGACCAAATCAACTCTTTGAAAAACGTTTTGGAGGTAATAATTATAATTAAGTGTCTATTCACTGGAAACTGACATCCCTTGACCAATATTTAAATCATGTTCAATGTGGTAAGCATTTATATATATCGGGTTTAAACCCAATTAGGCAATTCATTAGCCATTACTAATTATGGTAGTTTTGGGTTAGGCTCATACTCATAGGTATTTTAGTAGACTAACCCTTTGTCTATATAATTTTGATAAAAACCAATAACGCCAATAAATTGAAAAAGAGCCACACTGAGGTGAGAGATTTCGGTTTTTAGAAAATTTTACACTTGCTTCATGTTTTAGGGCTATACCATTTCAGTAAGGGGAAGGCAGAAAGGAAACTAAAAAGCTTGAGATTCTGTGAGGCAGACTAGTGTTTTAATAGTATTCTGTTCAACTTGCTCTTTCAGTGAAAAATTGAAAAATGGATTTATACTGGAGCAAATTTACAATATGTTCGCCACTACAAATAATGTTCAAAACTGTTTGACTGCCATGAACACACAATGCCATTTAGAAAGTGGTCAATGTAACAAATATTATATTTGGGATAACACTGGTAGTCAACTGGTAGTCTAGATCACATACTTTGTGTACCCCTCTGACAAGTGTAAATTGGCAGGGCTCCCATGGCCAGTTGCTGGACTTTCATTTTTGTTTAAGTCTCGGTGGCTGAATGGGTTAGATCGCTGACTTTGTGTGCTGGCGATTAGGTGCCTCACTCTGGCAGTGTGGGTTCGAATCCTGGACGGGACTCAACCCGAAAAAGTACGAGAATCTATACTTTGAAAAGAAAGTGTTATCCCAAATATAACATTTGTTACATTTGACCACTTTCTAAATGGCACATGGGAGCAGTGCCAATTTACACTTGTCGGGGGGTACACAAAGTACGTGATTTAGACTACCAGTTGTCGGACTTTCATTTTTGTGGAAGCCTCGGTGGCTGAGTGGGTTAGATCGCTGACTTTGTGTGCTGGCGATTGGTGCCACAATGTTACGATATCAATTGCAGTTTGAATAATACATAGTATGAATCAATGTTACACCTTCAATGTGTTGCAATTTAGCAGTTTACCGATTTAGTGGTGAATATGTATCTATTTGTACTTAGAATATGTTACGGAGCCCAACATTTGTTTGATTTTGCTTGACCATAGTTACTGGCCAAGGACCAATTATCGTCAATTCATTTTACTTTGCTTGTTTTCATTAGGATAGAGAAATATTTATCCGAAAATGAACAAAACTGACTCTTGTGAGGAAATATTTTTTAAAAAAACACCATAATCATCATGCTCAAATACAACTTTAGAAAAGACACGCAGGTGGTGTCACGTGACTAATTCACGAGAAAATATAAATCAAACAACACAATGATGCACTTTCAGTTCTGTCATTGCTTTCTATCTGTCTGTCATTTCTTTACCAAAGACCAATTCTGAAACCTATTCAGGCCTAAAAGTTGAGACTAAAACAGTCGCCAATGCGACTTAAATTTCAGTTTGGCCCCCGTTTAAAATTCAGAGGTAGCCAAATGACTACCGGTACCTTAAAAAATATATTGTGGCGACTAAATTCTATTGTTACACATCTGGTGACACAAAAATAAATAACAGCTGATCTTGTAAAACATGTGTGCTGATAATTCCTCCTAAAGTCGACGACGAACCGCAATACATATATATTAATGTAATTAGTACTTTATTTTAGTTGACAATACTCACTGGATAAGCAAACCTGAACGATATACCTATATAATCTAGTAATATAAATTGCATCATTGTTCGAGTCACAATATCAAGTACAGTTTCCACTAATATACAATTCCAAGACTAATGCTACAACTTGTACATATTATAATAGTTATTTGATAAAAGATAATTTTAAATGGTTTTGGCAACCTACAATATTTCCTTGACTTCTTGATTTTACCACTGGCTACCAGGCAAAAAATACTTGTAGCCATATGGCTACGTTGTAAAAATTTCAACTTTGAGCTATATTTCCATAAATGCATAGCCTGTATATATCACAAAATCCAAAGTACATAGTGTTAAGGATAAACATGTGTAGATCGAATTTTTGGGAATATTCGTTTTTGTCAGTTTGCAGACGACAAATTGATAATACCATTTGTTTCATTTTGATAAATAAAGAAATTGAGTGCAATACCCGAGATACTAAAAAATGTAATTTGTAAAACTTAAGCGGTGCACATGATCACGTGGCATGCACTGTTAAGATGATGCGGATAACTGGTACAGTATGTCGAGGGGAAAGTTCTGTTTCCGCTGTTTTGATTCCCTATCGTAGCGTTATAACAAATCAACTGAATCTTATTCCACAGACAGAAATAAGTGTATTTGCTCATAGTTTCACAAAAAAGTTATTGTTACAGTCAACTTTGTATACGGAATATATATGTCAGCTCCTTGGGGCATAGGTGGGCCAGTCGTCTAAGGCGCTGCGATTCGCTGTGCAGAGTTGCTTCCCTTGGGCACGCCAGAAACCTATGACTGTGGGGTTTGAATCCTGGTTCGCCCCGATTATGTTTCTAGGTTTGTCAGCACCATACCCGTGCTCGTGGCTTTCACCAAAGTGGTAAACGTCTGAGACCTGCATCACTTCAGGCTTTCCTCCCATATTAACCTGACACACTGCGCTATAATTGTAATACTGTTAAAAGCAGCGTTAAACCCAACTCACTCACTCACTATGTCAGCTCCTTACCATGTTTTCCCAGGCTCATGGTTTTCACGTAAATAGTAATGTCTAGGAACTGCATCACTTTGTGCTGTATCACATGAAGCTGACATGGACTGGGAATGTACCAAGGTTAGATGATAAGTAGATTATAGTTTGGAAAGGTTGCCCATTTCTTATTCTTGAGATTGAAAATAACCAATGTGTTTTTGATTACTCAAACTGTACATTTAGGCATATTTATATGTTCATCATTTTCCTTGTTTTTGTCACAAATATTTGTTCGGAAGAACATTTATCACTGGTTTCATATAATGCAAATTGTCACTTGTTGTTCACCAAGGTGATAAACGTTTAAGACCTGTATCACTTTGTGCTGTCCTCCCACAACCAGGATGCCGTGATATGACCGATACACTATTCCAGATCACCCGACATTGTTTGCATTTGTTTGTTACATTAATGAATGACCCATGAAGATCCGGGGTAGAATAGGTCTTCAGCAACCCATGCTTGCCTTCAAAGGCGACTATGCTTGTCGTAAGAGCGACTAACGGGATCAGGTGGTCAGGTGGAAACATATTTTAACCATGCCACAAATAAAAGAAGTGTCAAAACCTGACATTGATGCTGGCAACTGTCTTAAGTGCCTGCTTTCTATATAAGTGTAGCTGTTAAATATAATCAGATGAGCTTCAGTGCTGTTGCAATTCATGCTCTTGTCTTCCATCTACAGGCCATGGAAACCAACGACGACCTCAACCTTCAAATGTTGGTTGCTGCACAGCAAGACAATCTGAATCGTCTGAATGAAATATTAGACATGGGCATCGACATCAACTCTCAGGATCTGATGTTCTCAGAGACGGCCATTGTTGCTGCTTGTCGCTATGGTTGCATAGACATTGTTAAGTTTCTCGTCTCCAAAGGAGCAAATGCTAACATCCAAACCAAAAACGGTGGCACTGCCTTGCACGTTGCTGTGATCAACTCGAAGATACCATGTTTGGAATTCCTGCTAACCTGCCCCAATGTTGAGAAAGATGTTCCCGATGATCTAGGCATGACCCCGATCATGTTGGCAGCTCATCGAGGACGCCATCAAGAAATGGCGGTTCTAATAAAATATGGTTGTCCACTAGATACAACCAACAGCAAAGGAAAGGCTGCCATTCATTTTACCCAGCTGCCTTATCAAGGACATGTGGGCCATCATGATGGCTTTCAGTGTCTCAAACATCTCACCAATGCTGGGGTGGACATCAACACAACTGACCGCGAGGGGATGACACCGTTACATTATGCGATAAAGGGAGGTAACTTCTCCGCTGTAAAATGGCTGGTGTCTGAAAACTGTGACCTTGACCGCATTGCCAACCAGGGAACGTTACAATCCTCAGTGATGGATTTGCCTCTTCCAGTGACACCACTAAGTTTAGCTGTGTATTATTTTAACTCGCGTGTTGTGAAACTTTTACTGGCTGTCGGTTTGGACAAGCAGAGATATTCAAATATTATCTCCTACTCAGAAAGTCATCCTGAAATTCAGTCCTTATTATCAGAAATGTTTCAAATACCAGAATCCCTGAAGAACATTGCTAGGCGCACAATTCGCAAAGCAATTGGGAGACAAATTAAAAACAAGGTTGACTTTCTTATGTTACCAGAAATGATGAAGGAATTCATTCTTTGTCATGGTGAAACCAAATTTTGAGTTATTTTGAGGAATTATTTTTGATGATGAAGACTAGTTCTCCATTTATAATTGGGCAACGTGAATGCAGTGATCTATGGATTAATTTCATTCTTACTGGAGAAAAGGTCTTCAGCAACCCATGCTTGCCGTGAAAGGCGACTATGCTTGTCGTAAGAGGGACCAACAGGATTGGGTGGTCAGGCTATCTGACTAAGTTGATGTATGTCATCATATCCCAGTTGCGTGGATCAATGTTCATGTCAATCACTGGATTGTTTGGTCTAGACTTGAATATTGACACAGCGACATATAGCTGGAATATTGCAGAGTGAGGTTCAATGCTGCTTTTAACTGTGTCCATGTGTCAGTGAGAGAGTTTCATGTTATTTGTTTGTATATTGTTAACAGTCCAGTGACTGATATTATGAGGAACATGCCATCAGGGTAAAATGACATACAATCAAACATCACCGAGTCTGACCACCTGATTCATAAATGTGTCTCTTACAACCAGTATGACCCATTAAAATCATGGTTGATGCATGTCATCGTATCCCAATCGCGTGGATCGATGCTCATGATATCCATTACTGGATCGTCTGGTCCAGACTCGATTATTTACAGACCGCTGTCACACAGCTGGAATATTGCTGAGTGCGGCGTTAAACAACAAACAACCTGTAGAGGTTGCTCAGGACTTTCAATCTGTAATCCCCACAAGCCTGCCAGATAGGAAGCAGTCCATGTTGCCTTTAATAAATAATTGTTGTATCAATACATTCAATTGATATGTGTATCTTTTTCTACTTTTAACGTGTTCAATAATATAATGTTTCTAACTTTTGTGCAACGAGATAATTCAATCTCTAGAACTATTAAAAGGATTCCCCAGGGCCATTTCACTGGGCTGCTGATAATTATGCCAAACCAATCTTATTTGTTTTACAGATCCATTATTAAAAGATGAAAGTCATATTCCAGCATTAAATCACTTTCATAGAAAGGTGTACCAGTCGTGGATGTTGATTTTGTCAAATGTTTTCTGAGTGGACTATGGATATGTGTGATTGGACTATCATAAAGTGGGCAAGGGTGTAAACAAGACTGACAAAAAGGCTAGTGGCCGCTGTTGCCTGGGAGGATGCATCAACCTGGGAAATGGCCTCCCTACATAAGCAAGCATACAAACTCCTGATATATACTCCATAACACGAGATGCGCAGTAAAGCAGTGACACATGTAAAGGGAAGTAACTGTGTGCTATATTGGATCGCATTGTTTTTAAGTAGATATTAGGATTTTTGTATATATTTTTTTAAATGGAAATGAAAACGAAACATGCGGCAGACAAAATGATGATGCAGGCAGTGCTTGAGAACCAAGACTCTTCTTTTAACCTAATTGGAAGTAATCATATCAGCTTGCCCCCTGCAGTTAATTATGTTTTAAAAAATCACTTTATTAACGCCAATAAGGTTATATTCACAAAGGAAAATATGGTAACTGAAGACTTGTTTACCTCAGAAAGTTTTATATTTCATTTGATTCGGTCCCGCTATCAGACATTTTGGCATGCAAAACATGAAAATAAGTTGGTCTGGCCTAATTCTGGAAGAGAAGCAACACAAACACTGATTGATCGAGAGGTATTTGTTTATAGCATACAGTATAAAAAGCAGACAAAACATTGATGTTTCATAACTTAAACGCGGCTCATGTGACGTGTCTAATGACAATATCATTAGTCACAAAATAAATTTGGTATCTTAACAATGAAATAGCACTCTTGATGAAAGAAGTCCATTAGCTGGAGGGGCCTGAATGTATCCAGGTCCCCAACACACCATACACTGGATACTGTCCTCGTACAGATTGATTATCACAGTCACATCCTGAGACACTGCGGACAAGATGGAGATGCTGCACACTGATGGCATGACGCTGAAGGAGGATGTCATTAATCTTCATCCCAGTCTTGGTTCTGTTTCGGTGGCTTCGGGCCTCCAGCTGGCTTTGACATGATAATCTGAAAATAAACAGTAATACTGTCACAGCCATCATCAATACTTCACAGGGATACCAACCTTTCTCCATCACTGTAAATACTACGGTTATAACAAACTCAATGGGACCACTAATTACAGTTCGTAATAACTTAAGTTCATTTTAAGCATTGATACAGCATATATACAACAAATGTTGTTGCATTGGTCAGTTCGTTATAAGCGTGTTCGTCATAAACGTAGCTTACTGTATGAACGAAAACTTTGAGATGTTCTTGCCATTTTTACCCGAATCCAGACAGACTGGTTCCAGTGAGAGGAAACCATGGCATGCTCAGACCAGTCAGTGTTTAGATTAAATCACACTAACAGCAATGTTTCTTGTGCAACAGTGCGACAACCTTGTGGTCATTTACTCCCCACACTGCTCTAACCATCAGGTTCTCACAAATTTCATGCACAGAGGCCTCATCTAATATATACACTTAGATGCTTGACTGACATGACTGCACTGTATGAATTCTGACACCGATTAAAAGCATAATTTTAAGTTCTACAAAAACTGAAGTCTAAAATACCAATCTTCTATCACCAGTTGGATGAAATACTTCACTAATGACAATTTATTTTTGAATTTCTTGCCAGCCTTACTTTAAATTATGCAGTTCTAGTAAAATAAGATCTGACCTATTATTACCTGATTAAGTATTAGATTAACCCACACCTTGTTTTTTAATTCTGAAAAGTTTGATCTTTAATGTTTGAGCATCACAACTCAACACTTACTGAGTAAGGTATCACAAGTTGGCAGACTCAGAAAAGCCAAGGTGTATCTGCACATATTCCTGCTGTTAGAAACATATCCTATGGCAATGAGACGTAAGTGGGTATAAATATTTATATTTCTGCCAGGACAGTGCCTGTAACAGGATTTAGCCTTAATACAATACCTGGTCTACTTTCAGGACAGTGCATGCGGCCGATGAAGCGAACTTCATTCCCCAGTATTTTGTGAGGTACAGATCTATAATCCCTGCCTCCTTTGCATCAAACACTGCTGGGCCGCCGCTCTGAAAACAGAACAATTTCATACATGAATTCCTTTACAGGTTTGTTTTAAGAGCTCCATTTGGAAATTTATTCTTCTTCTTCTTCAGGAAATCCTAAACCTGACTGATCTAGCCTGCAAATGTCAGATGCAGATTGGTCACTGAATCCAATGCTTCTTGTACGAGCCAACTAAAATGGGTACCATGTGATTTTATGTAATCGTGGCCCACTTCCTGTCAATGCTTCTGAAGAAACGGAACATATTGTGGCATTTCAAAGCCATTCTTGCACAGGTTTGATTGTTTTCTGCATACATTTCAGAGCCTGGCATTGCTTTTAGCTGTATTCCAGCAACATCACACAGAACAACATGATTTGCCTTCACACACCACACAAGTCAGGGATCATACGCAATGAACGGGTGACAAGTGTACAAACCCATCACCCTCATACAGTTTAGTAGTCCACCCTGTGCTTTGTCTATCACACTTACTTCTATATCCACACCAGTGGTTTTGCTGCCTTTTTGGTGAGCGGCGTACAGTTTCGACAGCACTTCTGTTGCCTAGAATAAACAAATTAGCTACAGCCTCTAGATCACAGGTGAACATGATACACTCTGAAATATGAGTGTCAATAAAGTTATCAAATCTGTTTGTGAGGATGCTCATTGACATTAACAAATATAGCTCAAGATGGATACATTATGATATCAAAATAATTATCATATGAAGCAGCCAACCATATTGCTTTAAAGCTTCATGGGTACCTGACATAACACAAAATGAGGTACTATTCACCTTAACTCCAGTGTTTTCTGCTAGGGCTCTTGGTAGAGCCTCCAGGGACTCGGCAAACTTCTTCACTGCGTACTGCTCCAAGCCAGGTAAACTCTGAAGTCAAACATTACTCACTGGGTAACGTGTCAGATTATCAACAAGTTATATAGAGAGTGAATATTGTTTTATACCACCCTTAGCAGTATTTCAGCACCATCACTGCTGGCAATAAATACCAAAAGATGTGCCAGACCACAGGAACACAACAACAGCTTCACAAATCATACCCCTGTGGGGAATCGAACCAACATCTTTATGCTTCAGTTTGTTTAATACCACTTAACCAATATTCCAGCTGTAAATAACAATCCAGTGATCCAAATTGTGAGCAACAATCCACGCCATCGGGGTACAGTGACTTTCAACAAAGTCCCTGAACCTGACCACCCGATCCATTAAGGAGCAGGGAGCAACTCTAACCTATGCTGGTCATAGAAAGACACTGTCCAATGCATGAAACCCTGCCTGCCTACCTCTCCATATGTAGTGATCTGCTTGGCCAGTTCAATCTCGGTAGCTCCTGCCCCTGGCACCAACTTGGCCTCCTGGAACACATAGCATACATCAGGCAATACTCAACACTGCATCATCATTATGTCAACTCTTTTCTGAAATCTGGAACATACATAGATTCAGACTAATTCCTACTGATGAATGAGCAAGATGGGTATCAGTCACATCACATTATGACTGCACAATATGATTTGTTTGTTTGTTGTTTAACGCCACACTTAGAAATTGTCCAGCTATATATGACAGAGGTCTGTAAATAATCGAGTCTGGACCAGACAATCCAGTGATTGACATCATGAGCATCGCTCCAGGCAATTGAGATACGATGACATGTATCAAGCAAGTCAGCGAGCCTGACCACCCGATCCTGTCAGTTGCCTCTTACAACAAGCATAGTCGCTTTTTAAGGCAAGCATGGGTTGCTGAAGACCTATTCTGACCCGGATCTTCACAGGTCCTGCACAATATGAACATGGGGTGAAAACCAGGAACAAGGGTTTTTGGATGACGACAGTATAGTAAGTCAATGTTCTAGACACAAAACCAACCTGAAACACTGCTTATATACAACTCAAAAGATGTAAAAGAACACCCAATTCTTCATATTTCCATAGTTACTATAGACATGCAAAATCAATTTACTTTTGAGTCAAAGCGTCATATGTAGAGTACTTGTTATACTGGGAACAAATCGTTTTTTGCAGGACTTTACTATCAAATACTATCATCTGAGGTCAACATGTTCAAGGCACTACCTTTGTCAGAGCCTTGAAGGTGTTGACTCCATCATCGACAGCTCTCTCGATGTCATCCATGATGTTCTCCGTGGAACCCCTGATCACAATGGTGCAAATGGAGCTCTCTTCCTTCTCTGCAATTAACAAGAAACAGTTCATACTGCATCCCTTCAGGATAATTAGCCTGATACAAGAAAGCATTTGACACATACAAGTGGCATCCTCAAAGAGATTGGTAACATCAAACATTTTTACTGAAAGGAAAATATAAATGTTTTTCAGGAAACCTTTTTCAGGGATTGCTGCAAGCTTGACAATGTAAAACAATGCATATGTGTAAGATGGAAGTCTTTGCTTCAGCCTTTCTGAATGCAGTTGCAGTATGCCATTTAGATTGTATTGTAATGCACCATTGTCAACACAACTCAACAGAGATGAGTAAATGAATGGAGCACTGACCTTGCTTGAACACTATGACAGGTGTGCCGCCAATTTCATCTGCATACACAGTGTCACAGAAGCCGGTTTCCTTTGCTGTTGGTGGGGTCTGAAGCAGTTCAGTGTATATTAGCATGATTATACTCCAAATTCATCCAAAATAAACTGACAAAGCTCCATTTCAGCATTCTCATTAAAGGTAGACCCTTGACTGGCGAACCATCCAGATGAGGTGAGGTGAAATGGGGCTTAACGTCACTTTCATGATTACTGCACTTGTATAGTTAGTACTAATCCAGACTTTTGCCAGTTTTATAGTGCAGCCCACTGAGATACCATGGCACCCTGATCGACCCACCATCCTTCCACTCTCCTGGCAGACTCTCTATCCCCTTCACCATGGAGGCAGTTCAACGATCAAGAAACAAGTAAGTCCTTCTCCCCTGCTGGACACCTTAATATCATTGGGCCGTTGGCTTCAGCATTTGTTTGTTTCTTTATTTTGATGTTTAACGCCGCACTCAGCAATATTCCAGCTATAGGACACTGACTCCAGCAAATAAGTGAGTACAGGATTTTTCATGGTTGACTAACAAGGGCATGAAGCGTGGGCAAATGGATGAATGATGAACTCCACTGTCAAAGACATAATGGGGAAAAATTCTGTTTTGTTTGTTTGTTGTTTAACGCCGCACTCAGCAATATTCTAGCTATATGACGGCGAGTAAATAATCGAGTCTGGACCAGACAATCCAGTAATGGGGAAAATAACAATCTGTTATAAATAACATCTAGACCAGTGGTTGATAGTGTGAGCATCGCTCCACAGAGGTTGGTTATTCAGAATGATGATGATGATGATGATGACAACTGTTCCCAAAATTCCAGAGTTACCAAACTCAAACATACTGACATAGCACTCACAATTTTGGGCAGAGCTGTTGCATTGACAGTCTTGCAGAGTCTACGCAGGTCGAACTTGGACATTAACCTCACAGTCATGATCTTGTATTTGTTGCAGTAGTGAAGGGCAAGGTCACCCACTTTACCTCCCGTAACAATAACATTGCATCCAGTGTCGGCTATTGACTTGATTTGCTGAAGAAGAAGAAATTAACTTGTATTATTCACTGCAATGATAAATTGATATTGTATAAAGTAGTCTTGGACATAATTTCCACATGTCGATTGAACAATTAATGGAGCCTTCTGTGGACAAATAACCATGAATAATGTAATCAACATGGTAAATAGACTGTTATCACTTGGCAAAAGCGCAAAAACAGGGGAACCGCTATCACCTGTTCAGAGGAAACAGGCAATCTGTGTATTACTGTTTGTTTTTCCTTACTAAAAAATATGCAGATGTAATTCCCATCAGAAACCAAGAGAATCTAACTTAAATCATTTTATGGTTTACAGATAATTTCTTTATAATTTTGCATAATGACCTATAGTTGCATCATTTTTACTTGTTTAAAATGCACGTTCAGAACTGCCAGTGCAGTCATTGCTCAGGCTCAGGCTCACCTGCAACAACAATAGAGTGATGCCATTGTAATGGTTTATGAAATGTCTACTTACTGCCTCCATTATATTTTCTTCTCCCTTACTGAGATCGACAAGCTCTTGTGCTGTTTTGATGAGAACTGTTCCCTGAAAAGAAAAATCCGTACAATTTTACGCCGCTTTTAGCAATATTCCAGCAATATCAAGGTAAGGGAAACTAGAATGGTCTTTCTGTACCCATTGACCTTAACATTTTCAGTTCCTGCTTTCCGACAGTAAGGAAACTGACAAAAAAGTCCATCAAAAGTAATTGGGTCTCGCCATAAATTTCTTATGAAAATAAAGGTCCAAACTTGATGAACCAACCATTTATGCCACAGTGAGTAAGCTTGATAATGGAAGGTGAGGTGAAATGGGGTTTAAAGTTGCATTCAAGATTAAAGCACTTATAAAGCAATGAGCACGCACGTGTGTGTGTGTGGCTACTTGTACTAGTCCGGACTAATGCCAATCTTACAGTGCTAGACCGGTGAGATAACATGCCGCAGTTTAACATGAATCACCACTCAGACACAGTATACTGACTGAGCCGACCAGTTCTTGTTTTAGCCCCTAAATACCGAGTGTCAGACAGGGTAACAACAAGTACCATCTTTTAATGTCTTTTGGTATGACACAGCCGGTGATCAAACATCTGGCCTCTCTGGGTAGACTCTCTACCACTAGACCTAAGAGGCGGGATAACAACCTGAAGTTATAACATAAAGCAACGTTAACAGAGCAAATCATGGATTTGAACCCACGATTACAGGATTCTGGTACGCTAAGGAAAGCAACCCTGCCCATGAATTGCCGCATCTTAGATGTCCACCCAAGTCTCTATCTGTTGAGGGTATCTTGACTATCTGAACAGTGGGGGAGGTAAGGAACAGTTGCTTACCTTGGTTTCAGTCTGCATGACATCCAAGGGACAGGAGTACACTGCTATTTTGGCCTTCGTCATCTTGTTGACATCTCCCTCGACCAAGCGCTTGAACACCATACCTTGAACTATCGAGCTCTGTGTCACGCCACAACCCTGCCATTTGAAACAAATACTGCATATTAAAATGATGACACATTAGAGTGAGTTACATCACTGTGTGACACCTAAAAGAAGGAGGAAATCCCCATATGATTTGGTTGGTTGGTTTGTTGTTTAACGCCGCACTCAGCAATGTTCCAGCTATATGACGATGGTCTGTAAATAATCGAGTCTGGACCAGACAATCCAGTGATTGACAGCATGAGCATTGATCCAAGCAATTGGGATCGATGACATGTATCAACCAAGTCAGTCTTTTATGGCAAGTATGAGGACTGTTCCTGTCAAAATGTGAGAAATCTTAATGGGACAACTGGCATAGGCTCTTCAAGATCTTCTAAAATATGATGTGATTATTTTACAGCATGACTTACCACAATTTTGCTAACTCGAACATTATCAACATTAAAGGCGCTCTTCTCAGGTAGAATGGAGACTGAAAAAGGAAGAAGCAACAATGACATTCAGTCAAAAAACCCTTATAAGGGATCCCAATCTTATTAAAATCATATCTAAATTCTCGCTGCCACTAAACAAAGATCTGAGGACATCCCAATACGGGTCACGTCAGAACGACCTTTCGTAAACTTTGATCGACCACTGAAACAACTACCAAGAAGTCGACATCAGCCAATTAGAAAGCAGCTTTCTCCAGCTTTACAGCTCCTTTCAACCTGGCGACTTCCATTTCAGACTACGCTTGAAAAATATGTTGATACAGTTCTCGATTAAAATTTTGAAAACTGAACAAACGAACATTCCAGAACGTCTAATATATGGTTGCGATTGTATGGCAGTGCTTCCCACGTACTGTGCAGGGCCTCCTCTGTTCAAATGGTTATCGCACGGAAGCGAGAGATAGATGATAATTTTTTACGGAATCAGTCATACGGGCCGTAACTGTCGTTCAGAATACCCCGTGTTAACGTTTTCGAGGTTGCACGATTAGAAAAAGCTTGATCTTTCACAGCTTGGGTTGAAAGGCCTTCTTCTGGACCAGACAATCCAGTGATTGACAACATGAGCATCGATCTACGCAATGGGGATACGATGACATGCATCAACCAAGTTAGCAAGCCTGACCACCAGATCCCGTTGGTTGCCTCTTACGACAAGCATAGTCACCTTTTACAGCAAGCATGGGTTGCTGAAGATCTATTCTAACCCGGATCTTCACGGGTCCAAAGAGGTTAGTGATGTCAGTGATATCTCCTAGGATACAAAGCTTGATCTTTCCCAGCTTGAGTTGAAAGGGCTTCTTACACTGTACCAATGTGGGGAAGTCAAGCACTAATTTGTGTGACAAGTTAGGCTTCCACCATTTTACAAAACCATTGCTTCCAATACATCACTCACACAGAACACACATACGGTGTAGCTTGTTAGTTGTTTAATGCCGCACCCAGCAATATTGCAGCTATATGATGGCGGTCTGTAAATAATCAAGTCCGGGCCAGACATGCCAGTGATTGACATGAGCATCGATCTACATAACTGGGATACAATGACCTGCATCTTCACAAATCTACAGTGTAGTAATTTTTCACAACTCACCACATGCGTCTGTGATAAGTTCTGCCAAGAAGTCCTCATTGCCATACTGCTTGCTCATAACCGAAGTCCGGACTACTTTCTTCACCTCAGACTTGTCTCGGAGGTTTTTCACTTCGCCAATTGTTAAGTCTAGAAAAGAAATTCGATGAGATTAACCAACATGTTAAAATAACTTTAGCTCTTAGTTACTGAGACTGACTAAAGACAAACCTCTGCCATTTAAGCAGATTTACATCAACAGTAGATCAGGGTTATGACAATGCATAAAAATTGAGAATGGACACAAATAATACATGTATTGCAAGTCCCATGGAACTAAAAAAAAGTTTGCATCTGAAATTCTGTCTATCATGTCCAAGTTTCTTAACTGAAAGTTTCTTTTCAACAATAAAATCCTATCAATAATAAGGCTTTTATAACATTAAAATTCTTGAAAGGTAAGTGAAGGGCATCACATTCCTGTGGTTTGTTTGTTTGTTTGTTGTTTGACGCCGCACTCAGCAATATTCCAGCTATATGATGGCGGTATGTAAAATAATCGAGTCTGGAACAGACAATCCAGTGATTGACATCATGAGCATCGATCCATGCAATTGGAATCGATGACATGCATCAACCAAGTCAGCAAGCCTGACCACCCGATCCCGTTAGTCGCCTTTTACGACAAGCAAAGTCGCCTTTTACGGCAAGTATGGGTTGCTGAAGACCTATTCTACCCCGAAATCTTCACGGGTCACTGTGGACATGCAAGACCCCAATATTAATGCCTGGGACACCCCTAAATATTGTCAGTGTTCAAAATGAAGGAAGAACCTAAATCCCTGAGATTTGCTCCTGTTGTATTAGAATCTAGGAACTCCCGAACTTTCTGAGACATCCTGACAATTTTTCATGCTAAATTTCAGACATTGATCATATTTACTGAAGAGTCCCTGGGAGTAACAAATAGTTAGTTGGCTGTTTAATACCATACTCAGCAATCTTCCAGCTACATTGTGGCCTGTAAACAACCAACTCTGGATCTGTGACTGATATACTGAACAACGCAGACATGGATTCAGCCAAGTCACCTTGCCTAACCACCTGATTTATTAGTCACCTCATTCGAATAAGAACAGGTTCTTGGGAACCGATGGGGGACTCACAAAAAGAAAGACCCAGGTAATTCCCTGAACAAACCAAACAACTGTTACTAACAGATGAGACACTGCCATGGAAACAGTAATGAAATGTCATGCTCAATAATCCCACCACAACCTACCTGGTAAGTACTCCAGCGCCTTCTTGCATGCAATCTCATAGCCCTCGATCACCTCCGTCACAGAGAGACCCTGGCATGAAAGACAAACAAATGAGTGAGTGAGTGAGTGAGTTGGGTTTAACACAGCTTTTTACAGTATTCCAGTTATATCACGGCGTGTAAGCTTAATGTGGGAGGAAAGCCTGATGTGACGCAGGTCTCAGACGTTTATCACTTCGGTGAAACCCACGAGCATGGGTATGGTGCTGACAAACCCACAGTTATAGGTTTCTGGCGTGCCCAAGGGACACAACTCTGCACAGCGAAATGCGGCACCTTAGACGACTGGGCCACTCCTGCCCCTGACAAACAAATGAGTTGGTGAATATATTCATCACCATTACCGATCCACAGTTTGATTTCATACATCAAAAAATACATTTGTTTGTTTGTTTGTTGTTTAACGCCGCACTCAGCAATATTCAAGCTATATGACAACGGTCAGTAAATAATTGAGTCTGGACCAGAAAATCTAGTGATTGCCATCATGAGCATCAATCCACGCAATTGGGACACGATTACATGCATCAACCAAGTCAGCGTGCCTGACCACCCGATCCCGTTAGTCGCCTTTTATTGCAAGCATGGGATGCTGAAGGTCTATTCTACCCCAAACAAATAATTAAATCATTCACCCCAAGCAGTGGTAATTAACCAAATTGGTCTGGAAGTGGAATCCAGTCTTCCCCATCACCCCAAAAACTTTTCATTTCACAAGCAGCCATTTCTCACCATTCTGAGAAGTTCCTCTGCATTCTCCAAGAGTGCCCCAGCGAAGATGAGGACGAAGTTGGTGCCGTCTCCACACTCCTGCTCCTGCTGCTGGGAGCCCATCACCACCATCTTGGCAGCGGGATGCTGCACCTCCAGCTCACGCAGGATTGTTGCAGCATCATTCGTCACAAACAGCTTGTCCAGGTGGTTGATCACCATCTTATTCTGACCTGCAATAGTTGAAAATAACCACCCTTCATCTTCTTCATCATCATCATCATCATCATCATCATCACAGCTACTGTGATGGAAACCCCATCTGAAGCTTCAGAGTAATCAGTAAAAAAAAGCATAATTTTATATGATAAACAGTAATAAACAGTTAATAAAACCATGATGCAAGTTTTCACTTCAACGTTTTCGTTAGGCCAAGACATAAGGGAAACACGTGGTCTCAGCTCTACAGTCATAAAATTCATCATGACACATTAACATGATTAATTAACTGGGCTTTTTCAGAAAAACAATGTGATGTGTTGCATTACAGTGTATTATTGGTGTACATGCAATAAAACAGTTCAATTAAATGACTTGAGTGTGTTTCAACATAACCATGATAACAACCAATCAGAGACCTTGTATCACTGAGTAATGGATATTTTAACACTATGTGAATTGAAAGCATGGCTCTCATTGCTCAGCATTGTCTCAAAGTAGAATGTTTCTCGTCACTGGTGCATTATCAATGTGCTCCCTGTGATATTTTATGCATATAAATAATTCATGAATTATTTTTCCAAAGTAGTAACTTTAGGAGGACAAGCCTAATGGCATACTATTTTTTTAGGTTGAAAATCTTTACTGTGGTTAATGGTTGGTGCGTCTGTGGCTGATCATGCAAGGTTAAGGCCTAATCAATCTCAATATATCAAATTTCTATCCTACTTATGCTCGCAAAGACTTGTTTTTTAACGTGTCCACAACAATTTTATGGATGTTTTTAACATCAAATTTAGATCTTTCAAGAGGGAGAAATGTGTTAGCTGTTTTTGCAAGCAACAATGTTAGAAATAAAGGGAGCTATTGGGGTTCAAGATTTTTCTGCCTAAATCACTTAATCAAAACTTATTCCAAGCACCCCTGAGGTGATTACTTTTTAACATGCTCAACATCAGGGTAAGGACAAGGACCCTTTAATTCCATGTTTAATTTCCAACAGGGGGCAGGGGTGGCCCAGTCGTCTAAGGCGCCGCGATTCGCAGAGCAGAGTTGCGTCCCTTGGGCACGCCAGAAACCTAGGATTGTGGGTTCAAATCCTGGTTGCCCCAATTATGTTTCTAGGTTTGTCAGCACCATACCCGTGCTCGTGGGTTTCACTGAAGTGGTAAACTTCTGAGACCTGCATCACTTCGGGCTTTCCTCCCACATTGAGCTAACACGCCGTGATATGACTGAAATACTGTTGGGGAGGCGTAAAACCCAACTCACTCACACACATAATTTCCAACAATGTCAAAATGTCACTAACGTGGCTATATCCCCCGCCCGTGTTGCAGAATTTATGACATAATTAAATCTAAACAAACCCCAAACTTTTTAACTGAGGTGGAACTTGTCATGGAAATTGTTAAAAAAGGAGAGTTTGGAACTAAGTCCATCTTGTTGCCAAGGAAACGTAAAAAATAAGAATTTCAAAAATTTCTAAATAGCAAAAGGCATGTACCTGACAAACCTGCAAAGTTTCATGAAAAAATATTGAACGGTTTCTGAGTTATGCTCCGGAAACAAAACATGACGGACGGAGCCCGTTTCTATATCCCCCGCCAACTTTGTTGGGCGGGGGATCCTAACATCAAGTACATGAGAGTTTTTCACTACACACCATGGGGTCCGTATGCAGACCGAGTTGTTTTGGCCAGTTCATTACAGGCATCAATGTTCTTGTACACTGCTTCCTCGAGGCCACTGTAATGCTGAAAAATAAGACAAGGGGCCGTGACAACATTTGGCAACATTTATTTGTCTTCAAAATTAAAACCGTACATTACTGGAAACATGGTGAACAAGGTTTGTTTGTTTGTTTGTTGTTTAACGCCGCACTCAGCAATATTCTAGCTATATGACGGCGGTCTGTAAATAATCGAGTCTGGACCAGAATCCAGTGATTGATATCATGAGCATCGAACCACGCAATTGGGATCGATGACATGCATCAACCAAGTCAGCGAGCCTGACCACCCGATCCCAAGCATGGGTTGCTGAAGACCTAGTCTACCCCAGAATCTTCACGGGTCATGAACACTATTGAACAGGGTCTTTATGTATATCCACTAACATGTTAAAATCAACAAAAACAAGGGCAGTACTTATCACAACATGCTGGGGAGTCAAACCCAGAATTTCATAACGATGGGCTTTTACAACTTTATGCCTTACTAAATAAAGCCACTGCCACTTTGCAATAACAAAACGTAGAAGTAATGCACAAGTATGCAGTTGAAATACTTCTGTCATCAGAATATCTTTATCCTATAGTGAGTGAGTGAGTTTGGTTTTATGCCGCTTTTAGCAATATCACGGGGGGGGGGGGGGGACACCAGGAATAGGCTTCACACATTGTACCCATGTGTGAAATCGAACCCGGGTCTTCAGCGTGATGAGCAAGCGCTTTAATCACTAGGCTACCAGACCGCCACCTTATCCTGTATTTCAGGACATGGATAATGTGCCTTGCTTAATGCCCACTCAGCTATATATGCTTTCATGGATCTGTATCAACATCAAGAATTTTAAATTATCAAATATTAAAATATAACCTTTCATTGCATTCAGTGACAAGGAATGCACGAATCAAACTGTCTCTCAGGCCTAGTTTGTTACCAGCAATTGCTTTTGTAAGCTCTCATTTACAAAGCAATCAGAATCTATAGAAATCACTTTATTTGTACCAACATGCCTCTCTGAGGTCTTGCAGAGAAGTGGATGGAATAGGAAATTAGTTTCTATAGTATACTCCATGATTCTCAATATCCGGAAAAAAACATCATTTTAGTTCAGTTGGTATTTGATATTTTTGACAGTGATCATGAGAGCTTCCAGAACATGCTAGAACATACCGACGGCGTGACAACCACATGGCCGATTGTTTACGATGTGCAAACTTTGATAAAATGTCACCGTACACTGCGATGAGAGTACGATTTCAAGATAGGTGGCTCTTATGATCAAATGATGTATAATTTGAACTGGATTTACATACCCTTGCACCATCTTTCAACATTTGGGCAAAGCCCGGTGCCTTAGGAACGTGCATCGCCATGTTTCAATGATTAAGTTATCCCAGAATGCTCAGGGACTTTCCGTGCAGATCGAAACTATCTACCCTAAAACATGCTGAATACGTAAAATGTTCCAAAAGGCGTCAAACGGATTTAAAACCGGCACTTCTTTTTTTTATAACGATAAGAAGGATTTATGTAGTATAATTGTTTTATTTACATGTTTTACTATGTTATGTTGTAGAATATATGATTTATTTACATTGTCATTGTCTTCGACTAACACATTTGAATATATAAATACAGTTTCAGCTTGACATTGAGTTAATTTGAGTAAAGGTACTTCAGAGCATGTGATGCCTTGTTGCGCCTCCAAATCAAGGGACGATGAGTACATCGGAGTAGATGCTAATTTCTAATGTAAACTTGCTTTAAGGGGATTAACATTTCACAATTATTTGTGTTTACAAGTGACCATGTGACTTTAATTTCATTAAGGATTGTTCTGGGCTCCATTTTGATTTTTTCATTTAGATAAGATAATTTTATTTCTGGGACTAAATGTCAGTCTACCTGCGACATTAAGTTGCAAAAGACATTTCATTCGAGTTCTCCTTGAAACAACAAACATGGATGTGTTTGCAGTCATTGCGAAATGTAAATTAAATTTAAGAGGGAAACGGGTGGCCAATTAGTCTAAGCCTTAGACTCTAAGGTACCCGTGAAGATTCGGGTTGAGAATCGGTCTTCAGCAACCCATGCTTGTCGTGAGAGTGAGTGAGTGTGGTTTTACGCCGCTTTTAGCAATATTTCCAGCAATATCCCGGCAGGGGACACCAAAAATGGGCTTCAAACATTGTACCCATGTCGCGAATCGAACGCTTTAACCACTAGGCTACCAGACCGCCCCGCTTGTCGTAAGAGGCGACTATGCTTGTCCTGAGAGGCGACTAACGGGATCAGATGGTCAGGCTCACTGACTAGGTTTGATGCATGTCATCCCAATTAATGAATCCCCATTGTGTAGATCGATGCACATACAAATCCTGCAATCGACCTAAATCTGCACCGCAGTTTACAAACCGGATGTCGATTTTGTTACTCGATTTTGATTTGACTATGTATAGACTTGTAACTCCAGCTAAAATATAACACCATTATTCCAACCTGGTTCGGCAAGGGTGGAAACTGGAGTCAGTTAATTCCCTTGACTCGGGAAGATGACCCGATCCCGTTTGTCGCCTCTTACAGCAAGCATGGGTTGCCTAGGACCTATTCCAACCCGGATCTTCACGGGTGCCTTTAGCCTCTGTCACTGTTGAGGCTGAAGTTGATTATTATAAATTCGTATTGTAGGCACAATGGTGAGTCATTATTTCAATAGATCGACATTAATCCAATTTCCCGGATGATTACCTTTTAATCGACTCATAAAAATAAAAACAAGAATGAGTCCAACGGAATTTTCACAATTTTGTGCACACGACCTATTTCTTTGTTGAGATCCTCAAATGTGTATTTGTTTTCTTATCAGTTCATAAAAGTGTTGTTTTTTTTAAATAATTTGTACCATGATATTACATCTATAAATACCATTAATATATACCTGTACATCCCACAGGAACTCGTTATTGGTCAGTAAATAAAAAAATATATACCCCTATACTTATGTAAGTAGCAACTAGACTTTTATAGTCAGTTTAACCCACTTGCCTCGGGAAAATAACCATCATCTTCCCGAGGCAAGTGACTTAACTGACTACAAAAGTCCAGTTTCCACCCTTGCCGAACTAGGCGGGTATGATGGAGTTACATTTTGGCTGGACTATGCATAGACACGTTAGTCCAGCCAAAATGTAACTCCATAGAACATTTCGAAATTCATTAAGAAACATATTTACATTTCCAACTGGCTGGCATAGCCATATAAACCAAAACCATGAGAAAATAAAATATTTCTTTTATACTCGTGATGTCCAAATGTTCATTCCCATGTTATCTGAATGTAGAAGCATGTCCTAAGCCAATTTAGGGAGACGTTGTTCATGCATATGACGGATTTTAAACATCTAATCAAGATATTTTATGGGCATGGACATTACACTTATTAAAGCTTTCTTTGCACACAAGGACAGGTCAAGGACACATGTCTTATCATGTCAATTCATTGTATGTGAGAACCAGATTCCTAAATATGAATCTACTATACTGACTAACTGACCATCGAATGATCACCATTTCTAAAGATCACAATTTTAGGTGTTTTTTTTCTCCAAATTTACTGATAATGTCCATTCTTTCATTAATGTACGTAAAATATTTAATTGCCTTTGGAGACCAACAACAGTATCTGACACTAAAATGACATCGTCTGCGAAAAGTAGCATTTATATTTCTATCAAATCTGGAAACATCTGGATATCATGTTTACCATTGGAAGCTATTTCGTAATTTTATTTATTAATGAAAAATGAAAATAAGATCGGACTCAAAATATAGCCTTGTCTTAGACCCAAAGGACAATCAAAGAAACCTGTTACACCCCCCCAACCACCCCCACCCCCCACACACAAAGAACACATAAATGTCATAAGTCATAAATATATGATATTTATGCACACCAATATTCAAATGGTTATTTTGAAAAGAATTTGTGATTACATTTTACGGGGAGTAGTAGACATTAATCTATTCATCTTTACCAATTCAATATCCGATAATTGTTGACTTCTGCTGTTTATAATAAAAGCGTATTTAGACTTTCAGACCAACAATGAAAATCGACATACGTGTAATTACAAGCATGTGAGTCCATGTGCTCATGGTGTTAATTGCGCCTCTTGTGCAAGGTTAACTGACTTATCACACCAGGAGGTAATTATCGGTTTTCTGCTTAACAACACCTGCTTAGGTTATTCAATTAGTAATAGGTGTTCTTTTCCTGCTTCTGAACAAAGCTTATCTAAAAATATATTCATTGTTTACATGATGAACAGCCAATGTCAGCAGACGTGGCTTTAACCATGTCAAGCTTAGTTGTTAGTTGTAGGGAAATACTATAATGCATACGCGCACCTGCTTATTTACTCTGAATTTTAAATTTGACTGCTGTTATTGATTCAGATATTCCTCATATCTCATATAAACTTGAAGCACTGATTATTTACTGTTGTACGAGTTTTGGGATATTTCCGGAATATCACGGTCGTTTGTGACGGAATTAGCCGGACGTGTCTGACCCAGGGCGCATGTGCAAGGACATAGAGCTGTGGAAGTACTTCCAGGATTGTCATAATAATTAGGAAAGATAAAATTAGACAAAAGAACATCATCAATTCACATTTGATGTGTGCAGGGATTGAGGAACATGAAAAGACCGCGAAATGTTGATTGCGGCAAACCCAGACGCCCTGTGAAAAGGAACAAAATATCCGATGGTATCTATGGAAGGTAAGAACACGACCGTGTTTCAATATGGCAGTGCCAGTTTAGAGTCTGCCATTTTACGTAAAATGTCAAATTTCAGGAATCGTTCAAAGAAATGAGTTTAAGATCGAGATACCTTACTGATTTTCCCGTTGACGACATAAATATCATCAAAGCTATTACTAACAGTTCACGGGCGTTGACTATAATGTCAAAGAAGCATGCCATCCCCCTTCTAAGTTATGCTGAATGTCAAAACTAACGTTTTGATACCTCGACAAATGCCCTTATTTTGACGTTGGCAGTAGATATATCTACTATTTTAAACCGTCGCTATCAACACACCCAGCTTTGTTTGTATTGAAGAGCAATATTGAATAGTGAACAGGAAATGCATTTAACAGGAAATAACTTGAAAATATTTGTATTCACACATTAAGTCTTTAGGCCCCTATCTGGATATTTGTGTACGAAAATACACCATTTATAGTTCTTAGTTGTATAGTAAAATATCATATCACCTGCTGTTGTCTGAATGTTTTTGTCATAAAGTAATTGCTGATTGCTTGTACAAAGATGCTGTTTATGATACAATTCTATAATCAGCATGACTATAGAAACTTGGTGCACATTTGCTATTTCACTACTGTTGTGACATACACCATTGTATATATATTCAAGGAAAGTGATGTCACTTGACCACACTGATCAATGTTGAAGGTTCTAGCTTAAATTCTATGCCTCAATTGAAAATGATCAGTGAAAATAGGACAGTTACAGAATTTACGTTAGGCAAAGTTTAGGTTAAAGATTTAAATTTCTGATACTTTTTAATGAGATTTGGTAAGCCGGCCTGCACAAAAGTGTCCAAAATGTTCACAGTGTATCTGAACAGGAAAGGACATAAACCTTTTCCTTGTCACCATTGGTAAACTTTGAATTCTGAAACATTATGAATTAAATAACTGTGCTCGACTCTAACACTGCTCCGCTGATCTGAGTCTAGTATATTTTCTGAAGGACCAGTAAAATTAGATAATTCGTGGTCCAGTAGGTTAGTGTTATTTTGGTGATGAACAAAGTAATTTTACGTTTGTATGACTTTTGAAATCAGCGATATATCAAGGCTAAACTCGAGGTTTTTTTGTGCTGGTCCTTTGGACCACTGACAAATTTTGGTCAGAGTCAACATGGTCAAGCACTGGAGTAATGTCCTTGAAAGTGTGTAGTGAAACCTGAAGTGAAATATTTCAATATGAAGGAAGTGTTTGAACAGGAAGGAATTACCAGTGGCAGTAGATATTGTGTGACTCATTTATCCATCTGCAATGTGCAGGTTTTTACAAGCCACAATATGTTGCATCCTGTATGCATACAAATTAAGAATGAATGCAAATAATATCAACTGCCAATATTTGGACCAAGGGAAATTCCTGAATGTGGGAGAAATTAGGTCACAATGATTTCCTGGTTGAAGTTGTTGAATTTTATAATCAACAAAACACACACTTATCAAATTGTTATTTGAAGGTAAAGATGCCAGATATGTAGAACATATTGGTATATTACGTCAAACATTTGCATATTAAATTAAAGTTTTCAGGCATAAATGTCAACAGATGAATGTTAATTGTGCTAAGAGACAAATTATTGCGACAGTTTGATAGGGTTTGTGCTATATCAGTTCAGTGTTGTGAACTTTCAGTCATCAACTTCTCATTGGGATTCTGGAATAGAATTGGTCCCCAGCAACATGTGCAGATCATGAGGCAACATGATGGCTCAGGTGGTCAGGCTCGGTGATATTGGATAATTGTATGTCATCATGTCCCAAGAGGGTGAATTGTTGCTCATAGTGTCAATTACTGGATTGTCTGGTCGAGATTATTTACATGCTTCCGTCATTTGCTAGAATATAATGTAGCGTTTATAACAAAGAAACAAACAAGCAGTTGTTATGAGGTAGTATAGTAGCTAAAGTTTTGTAATCACACCAGAGACTTGGGTTTTATTCCCTACCTCAGTCTTGGTATTGATATTGCTGGAAGTGGAATATTGTTACAAAAAGACCACACTCACTCAGTCTGCACTTGGCAATTATGTGTCATGCCGTGTATCAAGACAATCTCATTAAAATCAGATCTTAGTTCTCGCTGCCTCTAAACAAAGATCTGAGGACCTCCCAGATCTTGCAATGTACATGCAATGCTGTTCAAATTTGTTCTTCTTTTGACCATGAGTGGTAGTAATTTACACATGGTAATGTGGAAGTTTCGTTTTCTTAAATTATTAGGGTAAAGAAAAAACAAAACAGGCATATCTCAAACTTTACTTTTTATTTGTTGTTATGGTTATCACATTCAAACATTGTCAAAGGAAACTTCAGTTCCAAGGTTTAATTCAACTCTAAAATCCATCTAAAATAATACACTGAAAATTATCTATATTTATCGCAATAGTTGCTTGCAATATCAATAGTTATCGCAATAGTTTCTTTCAATATCAATAGTTATCGCAATAGTGATTTCCAGACCAATAGTCACCCCTAATGTTATTTAAATTGTAAATGGCTGAATAGACAATTAACAGTTTTCTTTTAAAATAGTTTGCTTAGTTTGACTGGTATTTATCAAGCCCTGCGTGGAGGCTGATATTCAATCTATGTTTGCATCAAATGGCAGTACAACTTCCCAACTTGGAATATAAAATGTCCTGGCTTTACTGCATAGTTCTACATTTTTGCATTGAATAGTGTTAAAATACTTCTGAATTTTAGACAATAAGAACTACAAACAGTCCCCATTTTGAATCAAATAAAAATGATGTTTGCATATTGCCTGCCACAGCAATTACTTTAAATTCTAGATAAATCTTTGGTTTTATCAGTCCCATCTTCAGCAGTACAGGGATACTAGACTATAAGTCCAGTACTATGAAAACACACAGGGACTAGTTTCCTCCCCAAATCTAGGTATTTGACACAAACCACTAGTCAGAATGAGTCAGACTAGATGGATTTGACCAACGGTGCCTACCCTTGCCTGTACATTTCTCTATAATATACTGAAAGATGTGTATATATGCAAAGTCTTTCACTTCCGCCAATGTGCTAAATATCTGAGACCTGCATCATTTCAGGATTTCCTACAACATTAAGCTGACTTGCCGTGATATAACTGGAATACTGTTAAAAACAGTGTTAAACCCAACTCACTCACTAAGCAGTATGAGACATTAGATAGATGATTATGAGATGTAAAATGTGATTTTGTTTCAACCTATTACTGAGCTGTAAGAGAGATCATAGGAAAACCACCCAGAGCAGTGACAGAGACTAACATTTTAGCAGAGCTCCAGATAAGCTTTTGGTGTTGTGGGTATTTTACCCATGCATTTTAAAATCATTGGGTATCAGTAATTCTATCTGGGTATTGAAAGTTCTGTTACCAACAAGTTTTTACACATTTGGGTATTTAAGTTAAATATTTAAAAACGCTATTCCTCTAGTCCCTGCAAACTGGTGTCAGGTGGGTTCGAGAGCTTTATAGGACTCAAAAATACCACGATACTTCCACAAGAAAGGGTGATGGCAAATGATCATGATGTAACTGTCATCGTGGAGTTTGGCAAGGTTGACAGAATGCCCGTTTATAATTTCAAATAAGTTGCTGATTTGCTAATCGAATACGCAGGGTTACTTCACAATATTTTGATGATACGCACAAGCTTTATTTTTGTAGCGTATCTGTAATGTTCGTTGCGTATTTGATACGCTTGGATTTTATTTTACTGCATATTTCTGCATTTCTGATGCGTATTTTACGCAGATACGCAGCTTATCTGGAGCTCTGATTTTAGTCCTCTAGCCTTATATTTTATAATAATAACCTTTAAAAATGTCCTTATGATACCTTATTAATTGGGCAGTTTGGCAAGGACTATATTGTACTAGCACAATTTCTATCACTGCAGAGTAGAAAATATTCAGAATATCTTACACCACATCAAGTAACCAGTCCCTTGCTTTCAGTGTGCCTTTGTCATCAGTAGTAGTTATTGTATACCTTGATAAAGACAAATGGTGTTATTTCTGCGATTTCTATGGCAACAAGTCGTAGCAACATCACAGGTATAATGACCCAAGTCTACTGAGCATCTTAGTTAGTGCCCCTTTGTTAGCTAGTAATATGGTTGGTGAAATAGCTAGAAGAACTAATAGTAAGGACAAACAATAGACTTTTGTCTTGATGGGACTCAGCTGATGGACAGTGGTGTTTGGATCATATTTCATCATGCTTATTTGGTTTGGCTTTATTTTAACTGTCTTGTCGACAAGGATATTCTTTCATGAAATGATTGAAGTGTAGGCAAGTAGATATTAAGACCAGTTGCCAGCCATACCACATGTATTTCATGAAGCTATGTATATGTTACAGCAAGTATATGTATCAACCGTAACATGGTTGAAGTCTGAAAAATCATGCAATGCTGTTGATTCCGGAAGTAGAATCTACAGATTTGAGGGATTTCTCCATTACCTGACACAGCTCATTTTAGACCAGAAGTTTAGGAAACACATTGATTTTGTTGAACCAAATGACAGTAAGATGTTCCACATTATAGAGGCCTACCTCATGATAGAGGCCTACCACATTATTGAGGCATTCCACATTATAGAGGCCTTCTACATTTGGAGGCCTACCACATTATTGAGGCCTACCACATTATAGAGGCCTACCACATTATTGAGGCCTACCACATGTATAGAGGCCTACCACATGTATAGAGGCCTACCACATTATTGAGGCCTTCCACATGTATAGAGGCCTTCCACATTATAGACACCTTCCACATTATTGAGGCCTTCCACATTATAGAGACCTTCCACATTTATAGAGGCCTTCCACATTAATGAGGCCTTCCACATGTATAGAGGCCTTCCACATTATTGAGGCCTTCCACATGTATAGAGGCCTTCCACATTATTGAGGTCTTCCACAAGAGACCTTCCACATTATAGAGGC